TTATCGATTTTTTACTAACACATTGGGCTGGTAGACCAAGTCCTAAGGGTAATTTAGAGACCGATATGAGCTCTCTGCGTAAACTGTGTAATTTATTACAAAGCTTTAAAGTTGCGAATCGCTCGAGATCGCTGCAGATCACTGCGACTCGGCCAAACGCATTTTCAACCGCCCCCACACCAAGCGACGCGATCTGCCCTATTGATGTCATCGTTTTCAGCTGGTCTGCTTGACTGCGCAACGCGCAGCACAGGTATTTCTTTTCTAGTAAACAGAAAACAAATGTTGTCCGTAGTTTGTAAAACACTTTATAATTTATTTTTGATTAAAAATTTTCACAAAGAAAAAGAAGACGATCGCAGTTTACAGCTACCACCCTATGTGAGTCGCTGTCGCACATTGTGAATAACCAAATCGCGCAAGTCTATGGAGCACAGATAGATATAAGTACGGCTGTAAAAAATGCTGAGTCTGCACACCCGACAAGTGAGGCAGAATCTGAGATAACTCTACCGGATGCACAGTCTGCAGAGCCCTCTGGAGAAGGCGTTCAGAGGCAAAGCGAGGGTGCACAGGAAGCTTCTCAGGACACACACGATATGGACATAGATCTCAAATCCCTAAAGCGTTCTAGATCCCCTGTATCGAAAAAACCTGGCTCGCCAAAACATGCAAAAAGCAAGAAATACCAGAAAGACAACCTTTCAAAAACCGATTTTTCTAAAAGAAAGTATTTTAGATAAGGTGATTGCCGAAACCATTTTAACGAAATCATAGGGACTCTTAAAATTATACATTGGAATTGCCGATCTCTTCACTCAGCCATAACAGATCTGTTATACCTGTCTTCCGCCCCGCCGCGGTGGTCTAGTGGCTAAGGTACTCGGCTACTGACCCGCAGGACGCGGGTTCGAATCCCGGCTGCGGCGGCTGCATTTCCGATGGAGGCGGAAATGTTGTAGGCCCGTGTGCTCAGATTTGGGTGCACGTTAAAGAACCCCAGGTGGTCAAAATTTCCGGAGCCCTCCACTACGGCGTCTCTCATAATCATATGGTGGTTTTGGGACGTTAAACCCCACAAATCAAATCAATACCTGTCTTCCAAATTTGATCCGGCTATTATTGCATTACAAGAAACTTGGCTATCCTCACATCATGTATTTCACCTACCCAACTTTCAAACCTTTCGTCTAGACCGTCCATCCAAAGGTGGAGGTTTAGCTTTCTTTATAAACAATAAAATTAGTTTAAAAGTCAAAAAACTCATACAAATGTATGTCTTCTGAATGCGAAATTTTCGCGTTAGATATTACCTTGCCAGGATACTTGCCTTTCTCGCTAATAAACGTCTACTTTCCTGTAGGCGTTCAAGACACGAGATTGTTAGATATGGCTGCTAATTCAGGCTGTAAAGAAAAAATTATAGTTGGCGACTTCAACTCTCACCATACCTGCAGGGGTTTTAGAACAGATCAGTGTGGACAACGGTTGTGGGACTGGTCGGTAGACAACAACTTATTGTGCCTTAACGCTAAAACTCCCACATTTATTCGAGGTCAGTCAGGCTCCGCCTTAGATTTAAGCTTTGTAAGCTCGGCCATTGCTAGTACATCGTGGACAGCCCTTGATTGCGCCTCCAACAGTGACCACTTTCCAATAATGTTCGAGATCGCTTGCCCCGTCAAACCATCATGCTTCCATGCCCGAACCTATATAAATTATGCAAAATTTCAACACGACCTAAAAACTGCTTTAGACGCTCCTTCTCAGGATGGAGATGACACTAAAGCTATGAAAATAAGCGCAGTAATCAAAAGGGCATACAAAAACGCTGAATTTGCTGTTAAATTGGCGAAGAGAGTACCCTATAGCCCCTGGTGGAATTCCAACTGTTCACGAGATCACAGACGAAGACAGGCAGCTTGGAAGAAGCTAATACATAATCAATCCCCTAAGAACTGGTCAGATTATAAATTTCTTGCCGCTGTATTTAAACACACAGTGGCCCAAGCTAAAGAAGAATATGATAAAAGACATTTCGATTTTCTCTCGAAATCCAAAAATAAGAAAGCTTTATTTCAATACATGCGATCTCGCAAAATCCTGCCGTCTACATTAAATACTGATTATGAAAAACTGTCATTGGAAGAAACGAAGAACTCTTTAGAGTCAATTTGCAGATGTCTAGAAATTAGATTTTCTTCGATTATGCTTTTCAACTGGCAAAAGTCTAGCATAAACACTGACTTCGAAAACGTAACGCTGTCTGAAGCATCAAAAGTCATTCGAGGTCTACCATCGTCAGCTCCTGGTCCAGATGGGATCACAGTTCCTATGATTAAAATTTTATTCAAGCTATCCCCTGGTGACGTCCTCAATCTTATAAACTACTCTTTAAAGAATGCCTGGATACCGTATGACTGGAAAATAGCTAAGGTAATCCCATTAATAAAAAAACAGGGATTAGGTTTTACCATAGAAAATATCAGACCCATCTCGCTCACATCGAACATGGTGAAACTCATAGAGAGGGTTCTAAAGGGCCGAATAAACCCCTGGATGATGAATAAGGTCATATTGAAGCCAAATCAAATTGGTTTTCGTTGTGAATGCTCAATTTGGTGCGCCCATGCGGATTTAGAGAGTCGAATACAGCTTGCTCGTAAAAGGAAACAGTACGCCGCATTAGTAACTCTCGACATAGCTAAAGCGTACGACAGTGTCGAGCACTCAATTCTACTGACCACCTTGCAGAGTCTAAAGTTTCCTCAGTATATTACTGAGTGGATAGCAGAATTCCTAAAATCAAGGGAATTGTATTGCGTGAAGGATGGCTGTTGTTCGCATAAATTCAAACAGAAACGTGGTGTTCCCCAAGGGTCCGTCCTATCTCCAGCATTATTCAATATACTGATGAGCTCTATTCCAATTGTTCAGGATGTCAGTGTCTACATTTATGCAGATGATATCGCGTTCTTCGCTGCAGAGAGCGACATTTACTCACTACATCAAAAACTGCAAAGATATATTAATACACCAGAAATTTGGTTGCAATTCATTTCATTGTCATTGAACATCAGTAAAAGTGCGCTCTTGGTGTTTCCTATAGCTGATACAGTTTCAATTTCTGTGTTGTATAATCGGGAACCTATTCCACAAGTTGATTCAGTCAAGTACTTCGGAATGACTTATAATGAAAAGCTAAATTGGAGCCCACACATTGAATATATAACAGCAAAGGCACAACGGGCGTTAGGTTTATTACGCAGGTTTAAGCAACAGAAAATACGGGCTGCGCAGACACACAATGTTAATGATATATAAAATGTATGTGCGACCAATATTGGAATTTGGGTGTGTATTATTCTCGGGGGCCGCTGGTTATAAAATTAAACCGCTAGTAATGTTAGAGCGAGAAGCCCTGCGAATATGCCTGGGACTTCCCAGGTTCATGGCGAATAATATATTGTATCAAGAAGCGCGATTGCCAACACTCCTCTGTCGATTCCGCATTCTAACGGTTCAAACCTTCTTAAAGTTCTACAGTTTACCGGCGCGAAGATCAGAGTACGCATTTATCAGCGACCCTGACTCTTTCTTTCTTGCACATTGGCCTCGATTCCATACCCCTCAGATAATTTTTGTTAAAAAGAAACTGGACTGCATAAATGTAGACATTAGCACAGTAATTGAAACTAATTCCTCAACCATCAACATTAGAATAGAGTACGATGAAATCTTCCCCCCCACAAGCCAAATTGCAATCTCTTAGATTTTTGACCACTACATTAAACGATTACTTGGTACATGCAGAAACAAAAAATGTAATAGCTACAGATGCTTCTGTGAACAATGAAAAGGCAGGCATAGGAATTGCGTCTGATTTCCTCGGCTGGTCTTTTTCAGTAAGGCTTCCAGATTTCACTCCTATATTTGAAGCCGAGCTAGTAGCTATTATTTTAGCTCTTCGTAAAATTCCTACGACCGAGACCAGTGCAATTATCCTAACAGACTCACTTTCGGTGTGTGCAGCTCTGACAACCTATGAACAATCTCGTGCCCTAGCAGCGTTCCACACATTAGCACCGCCGCATTTAAAACTTCTCAAATTAGTGTGGGTCCCAGGTCACTGCGGATTACAATTAAATGAATTGGCAGATGCTTTGGCACGAGCATCACTCGATGGACCAGTAATTTCAGTACTTCCCGAGGTAGAATACTTATCAGGGGTTGGATATAGGAAATTCGCTATTTTTACAGATAATTTAGAAAATATCACACAATGGACCGATTATCAGCACCTCAAATTTCCATGGAAAGCCCAGTGGAGTCCGTCCAAAAAACTTGAAATTATAATCTCCAGATTCCGGTGCCGCGTCCCCCCATTAAATTTTTATTTACACAGAGCTGGTCTGACACTTTCCCCCCTTTGTCCGTTCTGCGAAGAATCAGAAACTATTGAACATTATTTTGGCTCATGTCGTAACTATGCATTTTTATGAAACGACTTTTAGATATTCCATTTGCGAAGCTAGGTTTAAATTTAACCACAGAAAATGTTCTAAGTTTTGGTGCCTCTGTTTTGGGAAATTGCCACAGAGATGCATTCGATGCGGTGTGTAATTTTATTCAAGACTCTAAACGTTTTTCAACATAAAGCCCACGTTAACAGATACTCAAAAAAAAAAAAAAACGGGTCGAAAAGTAATTTTCAATTCTGGATAAATCCGTGACATACCAAATTAATCGGGTTTGGAAAAACCAGCTGTCTGGTCGGCTCCAAAAATCAAGTTGTAGCTATTAGTGTCTACTTTGTTGTTGATTCTTTTTTCTCACAATCTAAATCTTTGGTTTCTTTCTTTTTTTTTTTTTTAACAATTCATTATACAACTCCCCCCCCCCCCCCGTTTTTTTATTTTTTTCGTTGCAAGCTATAATGCAGTTACCGTCCATATGACACTATCTCTTGGCCAATCCCCCAGAGTGGGTACGAGCCATGGATTAGAGGATACAAACAAACAAACAAACTAAGCTTTGGAACTTCCGGCTCATGGCGAACGTTGTCTGCTTGGATCCCACGCGCTCCATGAGAGCTGCGCAACGAGTGGGCATCACGCGGTTGTTGTGACACCATGAATCGCCCTTGCTGCATTGTGGGCTGCAAGTCCAGCGATTGGCGACAAGTGAAGATGAGACACCGTGTGCCTGGGGAAGGCAGCAGGCGAATCGAGTGGCTGCAGCGTATCGGACTGCCCGCATCGGATCGGCGGCAGTATTTGCGCGTATGTTGTCGCCACTTTCAGCTGGAAGATTACGAACGCAATTCTGCGCTTACGCAGCCATTCGGCATTCACATGAGGAGGCATCCCCTCAAAGCCTACGCACTGCCGTCGATGTTCCTTCCTGGTGAAAAGGTAAGTTCACGGGTGGTACAGATCGTGTGACACGCATGCATAGAAAGCGCGATTCGAAGGTGGGCGTTCAGAAAGTTCCATTGAACCTCGGTAATTTTCACTATAACGACATCGTCTCTACCATGCAATGTGGTCTACTTTGCAATAATTTTATACACGCTGAAAGACATACGCCGGTTAGCGATTTTCAGAACCGATTATAAAATGACAGGGTGCTTGTGAATCCAAAACTATGCTATTGAAACGACTGCACAAGTGTATACGTCGTAGTGCCAGCTGATGTTCAAAGTGCTGCATGCGTGTTACCTACACGATGAGCTCAAATAAAACCCCGCAATAGTGCAACGCGTGTTCGACGGCGTTGATACGGTACGGCACGATTGCGTGTGTTGTATCCATGCCGAATAGCAATAGCATGGCACGCTAGAAAAATGTCTTGCAGGGCCGGAGTCCAAAGTGCGTTGACGCTTATGCTTTAACTGTAGCGCATGTGCTTTCGTACTTTATTGATTCATTTATTTGCCGGTGTGAACGTACTTTTATGTGTACAGGCAGTCTAGCAAGAGAAAGGACGCCGATTGATGGTTGGTTTGATTTATCGGCTGTGCTTGGGGAACTTCATTTAAAATGCTTATGGCTGCCTACGGGGCCGATTATGAGCATGCTGCATTATGTTGTAGCATATCTTGCGGGAAAATGAAGCCGAGAAATATGTGCACCACAGTGGCTCTTAGTTAATTATTTGTATAACTACAATATTCCATTTGTTTGCGTCATGATGCATGAGCACCAAATCACGGCAGTTGAATGAATACCTGACTTCACATCTAACAAGAAGAACTTAACAGTTAATCAAAGAAAAAAAACTGCTCATTAGTAAAACTGCATGCAGAGTTTATGTGCTTATTCCATCAGACATGTGGAAAAAAAATGCCGCAGTACTTTTTATACAAATACAATAAGCTCTCCAGCTTCTTTTAGTTTTATACAAGATTTCTTTGTGGGGTGCTTTTAGTACACACACAAAAAACGATGCTTGCTATGTATATAAAGTTACTGTGCATGAAATGTGTGAATGGAAATACAAAGGCAACAGTTATAACCATTGTCATCCATTGTGTTTATGGTAAAAGAAATTTATGTTTTTTTTTAGCATCACACACTGCCTCAGGGAAGTGTCAGAGAGTGTGGCACAGTTTTGGAACCTTCAGCCAGCCAGGTTAGTCTTGCTTTGTTTGTGTATGTTTACACTGTAGAAATGTTAGAGTGGAATGTATATGTGCTGCATAGCATTGCTGCGTATTGTGGAAAATAAGTCAGTAATATCTTTCCTATGTACCAGACACTGTGCAATAAGATGATGTTGGAGAAGGCTGCTCAATTTTCACAGCTCTCAGCTCCAAGTTGAGAAAATATTTTGTTTTTTCAAACATATCTTGGCACCAGGAAAGTTATTATAAAAACCAGAAGCATTTTAATATTTGTAAGCATGTTGTTTAAAACAAACACAAGCTATTTTATATAAAGTGATCCTAATACCACATGGCCACACAGACAGTTTGATGTACAAAATACAAAGTTTAGCAAAAGTGCAGGTGTAACATAGTATGTTTATTCTCATCACCTCATATCCAGACAACCACGCCAAAAACTGTGCGCAAGGCACCCACAAGTACAGTGGCAACTTAGACAACAGTGGAATGCCGGTCCATCGGTAAGTTGACGTAAAGGTTGAAAAATGCACGTATGAAGCATAAAATGTACAATAGCTGTTCACTTACAGGATTCACTAAGCTTGTAAACGAACAAAACTACCTAGTAGGAAATACTGCATGATTATGAACAGTTGAGCATGAAAACAATCAATAAGTTTTGTTTATTTGCGTGTATCATAACCATCCCAGCTATGCAGGTGAACACGACACTGAAGGTGCTTGTTTCGGCCTACACACAAACAGCAGGTGCCTAGACCACAGAAGCTGCTGTACAGACACAGCGTGGTGCTTCATCACAAAAAGCAGCAATATCAGCTTCAGCCGATGTCGCTTCAGTGCCACAGCTTCCAGCAGGTTTCAGGCCTCTCTGTGGCTCAACACCTATCCGAATAGATGAATCTTCTTCCGCTGAGAAAGAAAAGCCAGCTGCCGTAACATCTCTTGAAATGGCTGAATCTTTTCTTGCTGAGGAAGAAGAACCAGCTGCTGATGATCGAATGGACGCATCTTTCTCTGATGAAGAAGAAGAGCCAGCTGCTGAAGCTGACGTTACATACTTGCCCTCATTTATCAAAAGTTTCAGCAGGTATTACAAGCTTTAGTTTTTGGTGGACTAACAACAAAGTTTAACTCTTTGACAATACCAGATGCTCAGCAATTCAGTGATCTTTAACATGTGATGAGCATGTAGTCACAAACTATTTCACATACTGAAACCACCACTTGAGACAGTTATTCTCTGGGGTTGTGTCTGCCCTTTCATGTTTGCAACAAAGGAAGTTGACCCCCTTAGTTTCCTAAAACATTTTACCTCAGAGTAGTAGTTCATGACAGTTCACGTATCTTTGCCAGAACACAAATGGTCCTTTCGGCAGTGCATGCTCATTTTTTCTACCTATGTGTTTCAAAACTACGAATGTCAAGAGGCAGTTCCATTCCTCTGAGAAGCCTGCCAAGACACTTCCATGCATTGCAGGACAACCTGCAGATTTTGTAATAAAGTACATTAGAGATGATACAATCGAATGCAGATTCATAGCTAGAATTTTTTTCAGGGGCGGCCCACCTGTTGAGGGCCTTTTTGAAACCAGTATTTTCATTATTCATTCTCGGTAGGACACACCCCTCCATCCAAATTCCAAGGAGGGTGGGGCAGGCCCATACGGCTTCCTTCTGGCCACAGGCCTCGTTGAACACCTTTATAAGTGGCATGCACGGAGGAACAATTAGAAAATCATGTGAATTTTCTTTTCACCCCTATTTCAAGGTAGGCACAGTGGTCTCTCTTATGCCACATTGTCTCTTATATGAGTGTATCTTATAAAGGAGTTTGACTGCATAAGTAGCACTTACGAATTTTCTTTATTGACATTAGCCAGACAAGAGGATGTTTATGACAACAGCAGTGAAAAATGTTGGTGCTCATTAGCAGTCATGATGCTCTATAATGCAGCAATGTTTTTAGATGTTGCCACAACCTCTAGCAAGATAACGAAGAGCATAGAAGGCCATTTTTCCCTGCAGTGAGTACGCTTAGGCCCAGCTGCAACACTAGCACAGCAATTATGCCCAACTAGAATGCAGCCCTGCCGAAAGCAGTAAAACTTATTTCACATGAAAGCACAGGGTTGTTCATGATAAACGCTTTCTTTAATTATAAGCATATATAGCACAGGTTTTCATATGTTCAACAAATAAGAAGGGGCACACTGACACATGTGTACAACTGCATTCTGCGCAGCATGTACAATGAGCTCCCACTTACCAATGCAGTCGCACAGTGCACACAAAGAAACAGCAAAATGATTTCATGTGACACTATTTACACATTATTTGTGCCCTAATACATCAACTTATTTTGTATAACACATTGCCAGTTACTTTGCGTAAGACTTCCAAGCAATCCTAGACTTAGCTCATGGAGTGACTGTTTTGTGATACATAGCATACTTTTGCCACATTTCTCGCTAATATTAAAGTGGAGTGCGCCAGTTATGTTTTCTCAGCTGGTTGCGAAGAGATGGACCTAAAGGGTCCTTGCAATGGTTAACTAAAGCTGCGTGATGATGATGATGATATGTGGTGTTTTTTGGCGCAAGGGCCATTCGATGGCCAAAGAGCGCCAGTTCATGGGACATGGGATGTGGAAAATGATTGTGATTAGCGGCTGCATAAGGGCCATAAAATTCCTCGCGGTAAGGCGGGTAAGAACATACAAGTAATAAAATCATGACCATGCCATGAAAGGTGTGTGTGGTGTGAACAGATGACAAAAGTTGGTGATAATAAAAGACGATGGTGGATATGTATGGCTTTAGCACAAGTGCCTCACTCGTTCATACCCTTGCGTCCAAGGGCCGCGAGGCAAGTGCTTTCTTGTGTAGCCACCACAGCGAAAACCTCTCTAGAGAGGTCGTGCTACGGAATGACCGGGTATATAATATGAAAACTATGAATTTCTTTTAAAAACGCTAACAACGATTTATGACTAAAAAGCGGGTCCCTACCGACGAACATTGCAGGGTGTAAAGGTATATGTTGTCGGTAGGGTAATAGAAAATGTTGTTTTCTTATAGTGTCCAATTGTTTGCACTGAATTAAAATGTGAAGAACTGTTAGTGCTTCACCACATCTGTCACACAATGGTGGATCGCCACCTGATAAAAGATATGAGTGTGTCGTGTATGTGTGTCCTATCCTCAGCCTCGTTAATGTTACCTGTGTATGACGTGATTTTGATACTGGTAGCCAATGGCCAAGGTGTGGCTTGATAACGTGTAGTTTGTTTTGTATGTGTGTATCGCACTTGCTCTGCCAGTAGTCCCTGAGCTTTCGTTTGAGAGACGGCTTAAGATCAAGGGCCGGGATTGATGTGGGTGTAGTGGCGGTGCTTTCGCGGACGGATGCAGCAAGCTGATCCGCCATCACGTTGCCTTGAATCTCACGGTGCCCTGGCACCCAGCACACTACAACATGTTGGTTGAGTGTGTAGAGTGTGCATAAAATGGAGTAAAGTGAGACGAGAACAGGGTTTTTTTGTTTTTTAAGACTGTGCAGAGCCGTTACCACACTGAGGGAGTCTGTATAAATTACTGCTTTTTGTATTTGATATTGTTTGATGTGTTTAGCTGCCACAAGTATCGCGTAAGCTTCCGCTGTGAAGATACTTGTGCCTGGATGTAGAGGGCCAGCATCCGAAAAGGAAGGGCCAACAGCAGCGTAGGACACAGAGGAGTTGGACTTATAGGCATCCGTAAAAAACTCAGGACGTGTGTATTTGTGTTGAAGTTCCAGGAAGTATGTTCGGATATGGGCAATAGGCGCATGTGTTGTAACTTCTAGGAACGACACATCGCAGTCTATAATCTGCCACTGCCACGGTGGCGGGTATGCTACAGGAGCCATTAAACTGTGTTCAAGTGACACTCCAGTTTCTTCAGCTACACCCTTCAGGCGTATTGAGAAGGGCTGCCTCATCGAAGGCCTGTTTTGGAACAGAATGGAGCTCGACAGATCATTAATAGTAGAGTATGATGGGTGCTTCTTGTCTGCTTTCACCTTCAGGAAATATACAAAGGACATGTAAGTTCTCTGCAGATGAAGCGACCACTCATTTGACTCAACATAAAGGCTTTCTACGGGGCTGGTGCGAAAAGCACCCGTAGAAAGGCGGATGCCCAAATGGTGCACCGGGTCCAGCATCTTCAAAGCACTTTGAGTCGCAGACTGATAAACAACGGCCCCATAATCTAAGCGGGTGCGAATGAGGCTTCTATACAGGTTGATGAGACATTGCCTGTCACTACCCCACGTAGTACGTGACAACACTTTTATAACATTCATGGCTTTTAAACATTTTGTTTTTAGATACTTGATGTGCGGTACGAAGGTCAACTTGTTGTCCAAGATTAAGCCTAGGAATTTATGCTCCGCATTGACAGACAGACGTTGACCGTTCAGTTCAATGTCAGGTTCCGAATGCATGCCTCTCTTTCGAGAGCATAAGACACAGGTGCTTTTTTGTGGGTTAAGTCGAAATCCGTTTTCATCTGCCCATTTGGAGACCTTGTTTAAACCCAGCTGAACCTGCCGCTCACACATTGCCAAGTTGCATGACTCGAAGCCAAGCTGAACGTCGTCGACATATGTACAATAAAACATATTGCGGGGGATGGACAAGTGCAAGGAATTCATTTTGATAATAAAAAGTGTGCAACTAAGTACACCACCTTGTGGCACGCCTGTTTCCTGGACAAATGTTCGGGAGAGAACACTGCCCACACGGACACGGAATGTTCGGTTTGACAGGTAACTTTCAATTATGTGAAACATTCTTCCGCGCACACCAAGGTGGGACAGGTCTCTTAGAATTCCAAAACGCCATGTTGTATCATAAGCCTTTTCGATATCGAGGAACACAGAGAGAAAATATTGTTTATGGACGAAGGCGTCTCTGATCTGTGCCTCAATACGAACAAGGTGGTCTGTGGTGGATCTTTCTCGAAACCCGCACTGAAATGGGTCGAGCAAATTGTTTGTTTCTAAGTAGTGGAGTAAGCGGCAATTAATCATTTTTTCAAATAGCTTAGAGGCAGCTTGTTAACGCTATAGGTCTGTAACTTGATACAGTAGAGGGATCCTTTCCCTGCTTCAAAATTGGAATTATAACAGCCTCCTTCCAGGAGGAGGGGATCACACCTGAAAACCATATGCGATTATAAAGAGAGAGGAGGGTTTCTTTAGTTTCGGAGGGTAGTTCCTTCAGCATCGCGTACATTACGTTGTCAGAACCTGGGGTAGATGTATTACAGCAGTTGAGTGCTGTTCGCAGTTCTGCTAAGCAGAATGGTGCATTATATGCCTCATTTCTTGGGGATTTTCTTTCTAACTTTTGTTTTTCTATTCGAGCCTTGTAATTCTGGAAGGATTCGGAGTAGTGTGAGGAGCTCGATATGTGTTCGAATTGTGTGCCAAGAAAGTTGGCTTGATCCTCCAAGCTTTCCCCGAGGCTATTTACTAGTGGAAGAGAATATGTTTGTTGGCCCTTAATTTTCTTTACCTTATTCCACACTTTTCCCTCATCTGTGTACGAGTTGATACTCGATATAAACTTAGTCCAGCTCTCTCGTCTAGCTTGTCGACGCGTTCTCCGTGCCTGCGATTTGACCCGCTTGAAATTTTCCAAGTTTTCTGCTGTAGGGGAATCGCGAAGCAACGCCCATGCTTTGTTCTGAGTGGTCCGTGCTTTCCTGCATGCGTCGTTCCACCATGGGACTCGCCGTTTAGAAGACATGCCACTCGTTTTGGCAATACATTTAGATGCGGCATCAAGTATAAAAGCTGTAAAATACGTGACAGCGTCATCTATGGTCAGGGCAGACAGCTCAGTCCATGTCATGTGTGTAAGAGTTCTATACCCTTCCCAATCAGCTGAGTCAATCTTCCATCGAGGAACCTGCGGGGGTAGTTGATCTTTGTTCGGCGCACTCAGGATGATTGGGAAGTGATCACTCCCATAAGGGTTTTTAAGAACGTTCCATTTAAAAACAGGTAAAAGGGACGGTGATGAAATGCTAAGATCTATGGAGGAGTATGTGTTGCTTGCAAGGCTAAAATACGTAGGGTCCTTCATATTTAAAAGACATAAACTAGAAGAGAAAAGGAGCTGCTCAATGAGACGTCCTCGCGCATCACAGTGAGCATCGCCCATAGGACATTGTGTGCATTAAAATCACCTAGAACCAGAAATGGCTCTGGGAGTTCATCTATTAATGATTCCAGATCACGTCTGTGTAGCTGTTGATGCGGTGGTATGTACACAGAACATATGGTAATGAGTTTGTTAAAAAGTACAGCTCGAATGGCCATTGCCTCCAGGGCCGTTTGGAGCTTCAAATGCTGGCATGCTATACTACGATAGACTATAATGGCTGCACCGCCAGATGGTACGACAGGATCCTCCCGGTCTTTTCGGAAAATAATATATTGTCGTAGGAAGTCCTTGTGCTTAGGAGTTAAGTGCGTTTCTTGCACACATAGCACTTTCGCGTTAAACTTACACAGAAGTTCTTGGACGTCATCTAAATTTCTAAGTATTCCCCTTACGTTCCACTGTATGATTTTGTCCATAGTGGAAAAAAAAAGGGAAAAAGTGCTGTGTGCAAAGAAGACGGGGATTAACTCATTTTACAGGGCCTTTGTCAGGCCCTGTAATCGGCGTTATGTCCTTTTTGGGGCGGTCGAGCGAAGCTCGCCGCTCCTTCGGCGCTTCCTGCGCCGTTTAGCTTGAACTGGTGTCCATAGCCTCTTGCGAGGCACTGGACACCCGCTCTAAAGAGCGATCTGTGCGTCGCTTAGACTTCGCCTCGATCGACGAAGTCTTTGTCCCCACCGAGCTGGGGGTTGATGGAGCCCCCTTGGCCTCGTGATTGCCCTGGCTGCTGCCAGAGCTTGTAGAGGTCACTGGTGTGGACAGGCTGAAAGTGGGCAGGGCAGCGCTGGCTGCTCCCGCCGCAGGGGCGTGTGGCATTGGCCTCGGCACGCTAGGCGTGGTCCGGGCAACTGCCAAGGGCCTTTGTGGTGCCGCCCCTCGTTGCACCACTTCGGCAAAAGGTGTTTTTAGTGCTAATGATAACGAGACTCGTTGTCTTGCTTCCCTGAATGTGATATTTTCCTTAACTTTTATAGTTAATATTTCTTTTTCTCTTTTCCAGGCTGGGCACGCTCTGGAGTATGCGGGGTGGCTACCTTCGCAGTTTGCACAGAGGATCTTGTCATGACTACATTCATCAGCACTGTGGCCGGTTGTGCCACACTTAGCACACATCAGCTGTCCTCGGCAGCTCTGGGATGCATGACCAAATCGCTGGCATTTAAAACAACGCCTTGGGTTTGGAATGAAGGGTCGGACATGGAGTTTTACATAGCCAGTTTCGAGAGTCTCGGGTAAAGTGGTTGAGTTGAAGGTGAGTATCAAGTGCTTTGTTGCTATTTCATTGTTGTTACGTCTGACTTTGATGCGCTGGACTTGTATTACACCTTGATCCTTCCATCCATCAAAGAGCTCTTCTTCACTCAGTGTCATCAAATCTTCGTCCGATACCACGCCCTTCACTGTATTCATGGTACGGTGTGCGCTCACAGAGACAGGGATGTTACCAAAGGCCACGAGGTGCGAGAGTTTATTGTACTGTTCCTTGTCTTTTAATTCGAGAAGCAGATCTCCACTTGCCATCTTCGTGGCCTTATAACCGGTTCCAATGGTCTCTCTGAAGCACTTGGCCACAGGGAAGGGTGAGATTGCTCTAGCTTTTGTAGATGATTGTTCGCAGTGGAGGACATGGTATTTTGGAAAAGTTTCTCTGTTTTTGGGCCAAAGTAGGAATGTTGCATCAGTGCGTACCCTTTTCGAAGCACGATCAGTTAAAGAGGGGGTCGGGGATCCCATGAGAAAATGTGTATTTTTCGGTAACGGCGCCTACCACCCACCACGGAGTCCAACGAGGGGACGTGGCAGAGCATGTGGGCATGTCTGCGCAACGCCAGCAGTACGCAGTTACTATAACGCAATATGGTTTACCCTAGTTTGGATAGCCACACAAGGTTAACCCTTGCCGCCAGGAAAAATTGGAAGTAAAATGAAGTGAGGAGAAGACAGGAAAGATGTAAAGTGAGAACAAAAGACGAAGATATAGGGAGAGAGAGATAGGAAAAGGTGACTGCCGATTTCCCCTGGGTGAGTCAGCCCAGAGGTGCCGTCTACGTGAAGCCGGGGCCAAAAGGGTGTGTTGCCTCTGCCGGGAGGCCTTAAAGGTCCAATCGCCCAGCGTCGGCTCAACCCCCAGGATCCCCTTTTCCCCGGACACGGCAAAGCCACGCACGGCTAGGCGTGGGAGGGAGTAGAAACTCCCCCGTTAGCTCGGGTCCGTGGTGTCGCAACACACCAAACGCCTACTTGCGCAGGCGGCCCTGCGGGGTAAAGCTGCGTGAGCTTTTCTGCTACTGCAGCATGTAACAATGAGCACCATAAATTTAGGTATTCACCTTGCATCATGACTGCTAAGAGCTACAAGCTTTCTAGCAGTGCTTTTTCTCCTGATCCCATCGAGCATGCAACTGTCACTAGTGTACGATTTAGCTGTAGCAAATTGTCAACAATATAGTTAAATATTTCACTGCAAAAAAACTACCTATATAGGCCACTTCAATTTTCTGCAGTACACTGATAATCAGTAAACACTAAGAAGTATTTGGAGAAGTTAAGTTAATCGAGACCATAAGCAATAAAAAAAATTGTAGTGGTATCTATGGGGGTGAAGTAATGGCTACAGATGCGTGGATGCTGGCACTTATTTGATATCCCAGTGCTCACTCTACTGATTGACATCAGCAACTCCTCTCGAAGGTTGCCTGGCATTAGCAATGATCCCTAGATTTGTTGCAAAGTGAAATGCAAGAAGTACAGTCCGTGTGGTTTAAGTAGACACTAAAAAGTATTACTATAATCGTGTCAGTTGAAAAAAAAAATAGAAGGCTATCTCCTATTGGGGAAATAGGAGTCAAACAAAACCTTGCATCGATGGGTCTGGCTTTTCGTATATACTTTCTCTCCCATTAAGCAAAGCTCCCTCCTTAATATTTCCTTCACCCACATGCTAAGCAACACAACACTTGCTACAGACAACATAATCATTGAGGCAAGAACCTCTTCACAGTTACAATATAATCAATTTAATAACATACCCTATGCTTTATAATTATCAGTCAGTTCTCATTAATCTTGTCTAACAAAGAAAAGAAACCCTTAAATTTGCCCCCTTTTTTTCACTCATAGCGAGGGCCTCGTTCTGGCGGACTTAATGCCTTCAGGTAGTATGACAGAAAATATTGGTCAGCTGCCAGCTTGTAGGAACATCACCTGCTACATAATGCCTACAGGCAAAAATTGAGTGTCCCACACTCGCTGCAATAGCAACAGGCAGCACTGACTGACACTCCCACATTTAAAAGGACATACATATCCCATAAAGTGGATGCGGGGATAGCGGTCATGGTAGCTTAGTTGGTAGAGCGTCAGACGCGTTATTCGTAGGTTGTAGGTTCGGTCCCTGCCCATGGCAAGTTATCTTTCCGTACACTTTTCCTTCTTAACAGTTACATTACAATTACTTTAATAACATCCCCTATACTTTCCTTGGAATAATTGTCTGCCAGTTATCACTAACCTAACCAAGCCGTATTAATAAGAAATAACAAACACTAGCGCCAAAGAAAGAATAACACTAGCGCCAAAGAAAGAATAGCGGACGTTATTAGTTGTAAATGTAATGTAAATGTGAAGAAATAAAGGTGGACTGAAAGATTGCTTGTCATGAGCTCGGACTGAACCTGTGAACTTCGAATAACACATTCGATGCTCTGCTAACTGAGCTATCGCCGCGGCCATTCTCTCGCCCACTTTTTGGAGGATATACAAGATGAGGGAGTGGCCGTCATGGTTGCTCAGTTGTAAGAGTAGCGGACGCATTATGCGACCGTCACAGGCTCAGTCCCAATTCCTGTCAAGCAATCTTTTCGTCCAGGTTTACTTTTTCTCATTCACATTACAGTTACTGTAATGATTATCCCCTATACTTTTTATGTCATTATAGTTAGTTAGTTCTGAATATTATGTCCAACAAAGAAAAATGAAGCCTTAAAAATTTTACTTCTTTCTTTCAACCAAGTCATCTGACTTGTCCATTGTGCAATACCGAGTAACACACAAGCACTAACATGTTTTGTGGGGTCATTCATTTACAGTACCGATCAAGACAACAGCACTGGAGTTCTAACAGTGGAAGAGCCTCTTCACAAGGAACGAAAGTTCAGTGTGTTTGAGAGCTCCCTTCGTGAACTGCTTGCTAACTGCTCCGTATGTGGCCAAGCAGTTGGCAACCTGAACTTCAGCGTCATGGGAACTCTAGTCGTTGTAGAGGGGGAGTGCGAGCAACAGCACAAGCTCCACTGGAGAAGCCAGCCACTTGTTCAGGGTAGTGGAACTGGAGCCGGCAACTTCCTTCTGGCATGCTCTACTCGGGCTGCGAAGTGGCTGCCACCATCCGATGCCTCAAGTCCATTGGTGTCCAGACCATCACGGATCATACCTTCTACAACTACCAGAGGGCCTACTTGCTCCCTGCAGTAAAACAGGTGCACTTATTTATCAACATCTAAGTATAACTATAGCAAGACTTCTATACATAATAGGCCGTGTGAACACAAATGCTTATACTACTCTTGCATTACAAATGAATCTTATGTTTTTGAACATAATTTCGCCATAAATTTACACATTGTAAAGCAAACCATTTGCTTCCTTCTGTATATCTTGGTCAATGTTATTTAAATGCAGAGCATGAAATCATTTTCTATGAAACGTCTACAAAACTACCCCATCTGATTTCATGGTTGCAATGGAAAAGAGGAGCGTAATATTTTTACATGCTAATGTTTAAATTCAGAAACCAGTCATCTGGAAACGTCACAGTTTTACAAACAGTTTTAGCATGCTGCCTTATTTATCCTACTGTATAATACGAATACTCATGATTGAACTGAGTTTAAGTTGATGAATTTGTACCGTGGAAGTGGAATACTCTTTAATTGCTATTATACCAGTCCCCGGAAACTCGGCACTAGTTTCGGTTTCAAAGAACATGCACGCCCGTAGCGGTTGCCAGGCATCCTAAGGTCCGGTTGAACGATGTGAGGTTAATGTGAATGTTCGCATTTATTGGCTTTCACAAGTTTTACAAATAAAAAAATTCGATGCCATGTAAAGAACTTCTCTTTTGTTATGATTTTTCTTATTCCTTATTTTGTGAATTTTATTATGTGAAACGCAGGAACTGATTGCTTGCCTCTGCTCCTTCTCGCCCCTCGCTCAGCAACATTAGAAGCTGAATCGCGCTGAGTTACCTTGCTCGGTTGGCATGTCAACTACGGGAAAGATAAAGACAGCAAGTTGTGATGAGCAGAAAACTGAAGTTGCAGTGAGATACCCCGGAAAAGTCAACCATGCATGCGTCAAAGATCGCTTATTAAGGCAACACATGTTTTCAGCCGATCTGCGGAGTGCTAACCCGGGGATTCCTTGTTCCGCTAAGGTTTTTAAGCGTTTCCTAAAGGCAACAGGAGCACACAAGAATTTGGAGCAATTATTGGAGCAGGTATTGATTTTGTATGAGTAAACCCAGTCCTCAAGCCCGACCGGACTGACAGAAGTGCAGTGTCGCTTGACACATCGGTGAAGACTGCAGCAAAGCTCCTTAAAAAAAATGCGTTTTATGAAAGGCTTGAATTCGAGCTGACTCAGTGACATAGTTGTAGCTTCTTTTACTTTTGGTGACTAGTTCAAATGACGTCAAGTAATTATATGCTGCTTCCTGCCTATGAAATTCTTGTAGCTGCGGTTTGAAAATTTGTGAATCCTTACTTTTAATAGTGTCACTCAAATACATATCATGGACTAAATGCTTCTAAAAACTACTACAAAAAATGTCAGTAGAGCCAATATTTTGACAAGTGAACTTTTCTTCCTCAAGGCAATGCTGTTACCCTGATGAGGACAAGTGAACTTGCCGAAACACTGTTTCCAGCGACGTTCTTTCTCGGAAAAACTTCTTATCACATCAAGCCTCTCCGTGCCTCTGAACTTTAGTCTCGTTTGGTATTCAAGTTCTGTAAGAAAACTATGTGCGTCATCATCACATACGTGATTGAGTCAAATACGAGGTGTCCTACTCGCGATTGTTGATAATTTTCACATTTTTTTCTTTTCCCTCTATTCGATGACCTCACCAGTCACGTCATGAAAGGAATTTTCTGTTGGTGATTTATTTTGAGTAGGATGCCCGGCCACCCCCTGATTATACTGCGGAATACTAAAAGAACCTATGCATTGTGCCACCTGTCTTTCCAGCTCTTCCTCAAGAAACAAGCAGCCATGGTGGATTCGCTTGGTGACTTGCAAATTGACCTAGCAGGTGATGGGCGATGTGACTCTCCAGGCTACAGCACCAAGTATCTAACGTACAGTGTGCTTGCCATGCAGACTGGCTGCATTTTACACACTGAGCAGGTGCAAGTCGAAGAGGTAAACTTGTAGTGCTACTGGTATACTGTTCAAGTGCTAACAAGACCTCTTGCTACACTTTTGTTCACAGTCACCCGAAGTCCCCAACAGTGTCTCAATGAAAAAGAGAGGGCTTGCCAAGTGCCTTACTGCTGTGGAAAATCTAGGTATCCACATACGCTCCTTGACAACAGGTACCATATGTTCGTGCGAAATTCGCGAGCGAATCTAAGAAAAATCAAGTTAATAAAAAAAATATATCTTTATGCAAAATCGTTAAGAAATGACTGTTGAATGCAAGGGGGGCATGGTAGTTTTATCACTCTTGTAGAAAGCACTGTGTGTGCCCATGACAGCAGGTCCAATGGACTTACTAGGCATAATTTTTTTCAGACCGACATCCTGGAGTAAAGGTATACTGCCGCAAGAACAAGCCAAACATGCCACACTGGTATGATGTTTGGCACGTTGGTAAAGGTAAGCATGTACACTGTTTATAATGTTAGTGTTGGGGCATGTACAGTAATTTGGCCCACTCTGATAAATTACCCTAGAAGGCTGATACTTACTCATGAGTAACATTTTAAAAACAGGCTTGTTGACTAGTAATCATGGTAGATGCACTTGCAAGTCAGCAAGTTTCCTTTTGCATGCATGGTCTAATCACAATATTCAAGACAACCAGCAGTAACATACTAGGTTATAAAAAATTCTATGATTAGTGCAACTTTTCAGAAACATGCCAAAAATTTGCTGGAACATTTGTATTGCCTTCATATTTGTAGTGAATAAAATCGGACTATCTCCCGCTAAAGGGAGCCATCTGTAGATGCGAAGCACCGGGCACTAATGCTCACACTGGCGGTGGCATGACGCTGGCGTGCATCAAGCCAAAGCTAAGTAAAGACGTTCTTGATTGAACTTCGAACGCGCAATCCAGTGCCTACATATATGGGGTGACCAGTGAACGGTTGTGCAGGGCGAGCAGTCGGTTTTATACTATCACATGGCCTTGCAAGGCAAGAGAGGGGGTTGGGAGGGACGGTTTTGCGGGTCTCACATGCGACGAGTGGCGACAGGCTAGGGAGAGAGTGACCTCAACGTGCGTGCACTGAGGAAAGGCGTTACTTACTTGGCACCGCTCCAACAGCTGTGGCCAGGGGAGCGCGGTGCCGATGGAGGTACAACTTATGTCTGCATCTGCTTTTTTTCGTTCTGTGAATATGAACACAAGTGACTCATAACTAGCCCGCATGACCGCTTTGGCTGCTCAAGCATGTTACGACATTACAGGCAAGCACATTCCCGAATGCTCTAAGTAGAGACTCTCAGAAAACTTTTATATCTTACAGTAGGAAACAGAGCTGACACCAAAATTTCTGTCGACTTAGCTGTGTAATGTTTTCACATTAAGAACAAGTTTCTGTACCGTGCTTCCTACAAAAAAAAAAAATGTCTTCTAATCACCTGTACTGTGCTTCTTACAGAAAAAAATTGTCTTCTAATCATGAGATTCTGCCCCTAACTTCAGGCCTAAAGAAAAAGCTCCTAGCTGCCAGCCGCAAGCATCGAGTTATCTCCCCTTGGATCCAAAGCATCATCAACCATCTCTATTGGGTTGCTGCAATGGGTCAAGGAAATGGAGACCTTCTTATAAGCATGTGGAGGAGTCTGCTGAACCATGTTTGTGACAAACACGACGGTCACGATGGTTCATACACGAAATGCCTCCATGACCACCTGGAGGACAGGCAATGGATGAACTCGAGTGAGCATGCAAATTTCTGTTTGTGAACAACACAGCTATTCTTACTGTTCCAACATTACAATTGCGGACAAAAAAGCAAATGTTGCGACTTGGTGTCAAAGTGCTCAGTCCTTTATAACGGCAAAATGGTTCACGTCTAGCGCCTAGCTTTCACCACTAACCAGCATGAACACCACTAGTACGTTATTCAAATGCAGAATATTTTAATACATCTTCAAAAGTGGTCTAATAATATGTTCATTATAACAGTTGGATTTAAAGAAAAGGTGCAAAGGTAAAATGTCACAATCATTACAAACTGGTGCAACTATGCACAACCATTCAGACATGCTGCTGCAACAGTAATTATGACCTACTCATGTTATACCTGTGCTACACGAGCCCTTTCGAAAGGCCATCCAGTCGATGGCTGTTGGAACGGGACAACTCGACTGACTCGATGAAGCTGTTGCGCTGCTACACGGCAGTTCTGAACGGCCATTGAGTAATTCAGATGTTCCTTGCAAAAACTGTGTGGCGCTTTGGGTCCCTATTTTTGTAATCATGTCACCTAAAGTTAAATATTGTAAGTTCACCTAGAAACTGAAATATATCTGTTGATGTTATTTAAGTAATTCAATAAATGTTTATCTGTTGTTATGAATGTATATTTAGCTTTTACGGTGTTGGGCAGCGAAGCCGTGATGAGCGGTACACAGCGAGACAGCACACTAAAGACACTACCGAATTCATAAACGCTCCTTCACTAGACTTGCCACTGCCTTCAATGGTGCTTTCTTCCGCGGTTCCTTTAGATGAAATTATAGGTCTTCTTTACCAGGCAGAAAAAATGAATTTCACAAAACACCCTCAGACATTATATGGCCTTTGGACTACATAAACATATTTAACTTTGAAATATCTGTTCCAGCATCCCGTGCCTTTCATGAATTGAAAATCATAGTGGACAACCCTCTACTACTCCGAGACATCCGCTGGCTTTCTCCCGAGGTGCAAACATTCTCATTGGAGTCATTCTACAGTGTCCTGAATAGCTTCGCCCCAAAATCTAATACTTTCTCAGAGGACAGCATGCAAGCAAGGTACTCATTTTTCGTCACTTTAAATCTAAGAAAAACTAACGTTGAAACCTCTTATTCCTTAGGACATGGCTCGCTTTTCTTCACTTCAATGAGAATGTCGGACGGCAGCAAGCCCTTACTTCAGGAGAGAGAGGAGCGATGGAAATAAAATCCTCGAAGGCAAGGCGAGGCCACTTCACTGTTGCCCCAGTCAAAGAGGAGCCTAGCTATGGTATGTAATACTTTCGGACTAACCAACCGTAGCAGCACAATGAGTCTAAAGGAACACATATAGATGGTGATTCATATTTATACTTGTGTGCAAATTTAAGCTAAAGAAAAAGTAAAAAAAAAACAAGAAAATATACTTGCCACTTCTGGGAGGGCGGATTACAGATAAATTGCACAACCAATTGTGATACTGTAGCAAATCTTCTGCCATCTTCTTTCTAGTATATTTTTGCATCCATACAATATTTAACAACCTTGGGATTGTTACCCATGTGGCAATCTACTAATCACAGCTTACTGCTTGCTCTCTTGACTGTTTCTGGAACAGTTCCTCCTATGAGGGATTACCATTTTCATGTGAAAGTCACCTTTTTGGGAGTCTCAACCCGCCTAGCGTTCATTAGATCATGTATTATGGCCTGTTTTAATGTAACCGTAGATGCAGTGCCAAGTGCGAAAACACTGATATAAAAGATAGCTGCATTTACCTTGTATAGTCATGCTTGACAGCATATCATCTATGAAATCTCAGCAGGGGATATAGAGTACAAAGGCAGCTGATATAAATTTTGAGGTTGATGTGTGCAATCCAGTGCAAGCACTATGTGCTGCTCTCCACGATGTTGAAATCATCTTGCGACACTGACACTGGCTTGTTAAAGGTTCGTGTGCTGAATGACGCCACCTGGCAAAAAAAAAGCGTTCCACTGAATAACACTCACAGGTTTCCATGCACAAGAAAATTCGATACCTGGAGGTGTATTGTAAAATAAGTAAAATGATCAGGCATGTAATCTGATAATTGTAAGTTTGGTTACTGCATATACATAGTTATCTTTTCGTTTTTTTTTCACACTGATGCCGCAATTACTACTACAGTCCCAATAAAAGAGTGCAATTAACATTCTCTATACCTTTCTTGGCTTCTGTATCAGCTAGTATTCAATAACTCCATATAATGAGACTTGAAGGTGATTCCTACTTTCTGTAGTGCCACCACTGCAGAAGAGCTTTCAGCTGGTGCAGCTAGTAATGACAGATCAAAAAAGGGGTGCGCATCCGGTAAGAAGTGTTGGCTGTTAATTGAAGAGACCCGCTTTTAACAAACTGTGGCACTCCAGATGGCAATTAATGGCAAGGTAATAGTTAAAAGGAAAAAAAAATTCTTCTAAACAAGCGTGCAATAAATATATGCTAAAAACAGAGCCTGAAGATTAATATAAGGTTGTAACCATGCCACAGCATGCGTGCTTCTATTGTTAGTGGCCGTCACCAGCTGCCCCAGAAGATATTTTTTAATTGTCACATAAATCACTCACCCCCACCCCAAATTTGGATTTATATCATTCATAAGGTAGATTGACCTACGATCAAGTAAATACGGTAATTACTTTTATCTTGTAATGTGTCCTGGCATAATAGTGATTTTGTCTTTCTTCACCATGCAGGATATGTTCAAGAGTTATTGGAAGATGTCATGGACCTCTGCGAACTCTCGTCATACAAGGAGAGCTTTGCAAGCTATGAGGCAGCAGAGCCGTGGCATATGTCACTCACCTGTGACCAGCCATCTAAGGAGGAGCTCATTGCTCAGAGGCGCACACGCTTTCCCAAACCATCGACCTCTAATCAGTGAAATGCATTTGTTCTCATGATGTGGGTGTTCGTTCAACGTCCCAAAACAGTGATGCAATAATGAGGGACGCTAAAGTGGAGGGTGCCAAAAATTTTGGTTACATGGTGTTCTTCAGCATGCACCTAAATCTGAGAACATGGCCTCAACCATTTTTGCCTCCACTGAATATGCAGCCACCATGGCCGAGATTCGATCCAGCATCCTTCGGATCCATTTTCACGTGTGTGCTATACGGCTGGCAGCACACAAAGAGCCACTGGCTGAATCGAGCGAGAGAGCTACACTGGACTGAAGTAATGCGGAAAAGCTCGGTGAAACAGAGAGAATGAAAACGTAGAGACGATTCAGGTGAAGTCATCTGGCACTTGTGATTGGGGCAACGTTGAAATCTCAGTGAAGCCGAGTGAATGCAACCGCAGCAACGACGCAGCTGAAGTGTTTCGAGACAAGTACGACGCAACAAACCGACATGGCAGTCGGGCAAACATGCAACCATGACTGATGTGTGGAAAGTTCCGTCAAATATTATGTTCTTGTGTGTGCTATACGGCTGGCAGCACACAGAAAGCCACTGAGTGAATCGAGTGAGAGAGCCACATGACTGAAGCAACTGCCTTCCTGGCAGTCGGGCAACGATGCAGCCATGAGTGCATTTTGTGAAGTGCCGTGAAATACTATTTTTACGTGTGTGCTATACAGCTGGCAGCACACAAAGAGCCACTGGCTGAATCGAGCGAGAGAGCTACACTGGATTGAAGCAATGTGGAAAGCTCGGTGAAACAGAGAGAATGCAAACGTAGAGACGACGCAGGTGAAATCTTCTGGTAAAAAGTGACGCAACGAACCTTCTTGGCAGTTGGGCAAACATGCAACCATGACTGATGTGCTGAAAGTGCCGTGAAATGTTATTTACGTGTGTGTACTATACAACTGCAGCCCACAGCCACTGGGTGAATTGAGCGAGGGAGCCACATTTGACGGAAGCAACTGCTTACCTGATAGTCGGGAAACGATGCAGCCATGATTGCTTTTTGTGAAGTGCCATGAAATATTATTTTCTCGTCTGTGTGCTACGGGAGGCCGTCCAGAAAGAGCTACATCTACTTGAGATGGCATCACAAGTTTGACAGAATGACTAGATGGGAGTATTTGGGAAATGTTTCTTGTTTGGGTGAGTCTTGAAAAGAAATGTTCCATCATATTTAATTAATTCCTTTGTATAATGCTTCTCTATGGTAATTGTGCACTATTTTAAACCTGTCCACCAATGAAATAGTCTGCAATTATCATCATAAGTGGTAGATGCGATGAGCAAGCCCTAATTAATGTTCTCTTAAAAACTGATGCACGAAGCAAAACTAGTTTGGAGCGATAGATTGCACGATAAGTCCACTGGAAAAGACAAACCTGTGTAAAACAGGTCTACCGAAAAGGAAATGAATGCGGATATCAGTTGAAAGCACGGGATGTTTGCAGCTCAATTTCAAGTTAAGATATAAAAAACTTTCACGTGCCTACAGAGGTGGATATCGGAAGCCCACGTAGTCGGCTGATGGGAACTGCTTCCGAAAGGCGGTGACTACGCACACAGGTAATACAACTCAGTTGTGTCGCCCAAGCCTTTTCCAAATTCATCGCGTGAAGAAGCGGTACGCCAGAAACCAATATTTCCTGGAAAAAGGCATAGGATGACATTGCTGGAACTGCAAATTGGAAATGTTTTTTTTTTTGTTCGATTCAGCATTATCTGAGTACGTCTCCTTCAACCGCGATAAAGTGAGCTAGAATAGGGTAGTGGGCTCACTCGCCGGCCGGCGCCATGCATTGCGGTGACGCCGCCAATGTCACACAAACGTGCTTCGACGCGCCTCCGCGGCGTGACGCCACCGCCGCATTAAATGTAGTGAGCGTTGGCGCTGGGGCATTTGCTGCCTGTTTGGAGTGGCGGTCGGTGTGTGCGAGTTTTGTTACTTTGAGAACTCGTCGCGCTTTGCATCCTCAATCCCCTAGGTTCTTCGGCGAACAGTGATGTGGCCTGACAAGCAGTGACCCTCAAACGAGGTTAAAATGCTTCCGCGGCGGCAAAACTACTGTTTTGCGCCAGGCTGTCGTACAGGTTACGTCCACGTGAAGGGCAGCAAGAAGCCGTCTTTGTTCGGAGTTCCGAAGGATGCAGCCTCGAAGAAGCAATGGGAAAGAAATTTGCATCGAGCGGACAAAGCCCTGGACGACACATCTCCCGTGTGTGACCTTCATTTTCAGCCGAAGTATGTGCTACGGGACTACGTGCATATAATCTACGTGACTGGACTGCGCGTGACTATAACGAGTGTGCTAGAAATGCTTTCTTATTTGACAGGGAAAGTAGCATTTAATTACATAATGACATCAAAGACCAGCCAAGACCCATTAGAAAATTTATTTGGTATTATACGTCAGTCATCCAGCAGCAACGACCACCCCACGCCAACTCAGTTTTTGCTAACCATTACTTGTCTGTCATTCTATGGTCTCGTGAAAACAGTTAGCCAGGGGAATTGTGACCAAGGCGAGCTAGCTTCATTGCTGGAGATCAATGTTGCTACTGACACACTGCCACAAGACGATTCAGTTGGCAGTGCAAGCACTGTGAATGAGCCTACAGTGCCAGCCCCTATTGACCACAACCAGCATATTGCTAGAAGTGATTCCAGGCTGATCTTTTATGTTGCTGGCTATATTGCGCGAAAGTGTGTCATTAAAACAAACTGCGAAGTTTGCATAACACTACTCACGATGCCAGCTCCAGGAGATTTTCAGCTCACTCGTCTAACCACCTTTCGTGACAAAGGTGGACTGTTGTATCCATCTAGCCACCTGTACAGTTTTGTGAGCAAGCTAGAAAACATGTTTACAGAGTGCTTTTCTTGTTACAAGTTGCATTCTGACAGCATTTTGGATGTATTGACAATCGTGAAAGAAAAGTTTTCCCAAGAAGTTGGGTGCGCACAACATGCCCCTGGACTCTCAAAAGACGTAATCAGCTTTTATATTGTTACGCGGTTTTGTGAAAGGCATTAATTCTGATAGAACCGAGAAGCGGGAAAAGGCAAAGCATCTAAAGTTGAGCCGCTGCTCCTGAAGAAATATCCAGTAAGCAACTGTGCCCAATATATATCTGATGAATAAATTTTCATGTACTTGTGCCAGGTACTTGGGGAGAGTGGCTTCCTGTTTTTCTTATCTGTGGATTTTTACAGTCTTTGCATAGGAATATTCAGTGCAGAAATAGCCAAATTACAGAGCCAAGATAATGGAGATCTGCAGAAAGAATGAGAAGCTGACAATTTTTAAATGCTGTTAAATGTATGATATTAAGAGCTCGTGGTAAACTCTTGAGTGTGTACCAAGGTCAGCATCGCTAATAATTTCACAAGCTCGTAAAAGGCGTGCGTGACGAAAGTAGGGCCCGAGAAATACAAAGAATCCAGTTTACAATTTATAGCCGCGCAACGTAAGCTTTGAAAAGTTCGCCATCGCTGCTTATCACTTGTAAGAGAATTTAAATGCATCTCATGTTTGCGCAGCATCCCTTGCATGCAGTTTAATCGCGCGAGTTACGCCGACCGAGTTTATGAAAATGTTTTCTACAGCTTTACGCCGACCGAGTTTATGAAAATGTTTTCTACAGCTTTATTCGCACGAGTACTGACGGTATTCGGTGTGTTTCATTTAACATCAAATAAACGAGAAAACAGTTTAGCTGCATACACCATGCTACAGTGTTCTAGATGGTTACCTACGCGCACATGTAGGCCAACGGCCTACGCACCTAGCTCCACGATAGTTTTCTTTCTTTATTTTTGTTGTCTTAGCGACATCAGCATCACCGTTTTACACTGCCGAAATTCACGCGCATTTCCGTCTAGTGCATGGGATAACAGCGCACAAAAAGCATGATTTCAGTTGCGCACCAACGCCTCCGTTTGGCAGTGCCCTACATTGAAGTCGCTGGTGGCGCCACCACTCGTGTGACATACCCGGCGTCAAGCAGGGGACCTCAGCAAGCCCACTACCATATTCTAGCTCACTTTAACCGCGACGCCGTTCTCTTGCAGCTCACAATAGAGAGCGCGCAGCACTGCGGAGCTCAGACACACGCTTTGGAATTCGTGCCGAGTTATGCAGCCGTCCGGACTTTCGAGAACAACTTGCAGTATGTCCCGATAGCAGACTTGCTCAAGGGCCGTTGGCATTGCTCCACAAAGCCCACAGTCGCACCTGCATTCGCGAAAATAAGCTTCAGTTATCGCTGTCATGGACACCGTACAAACACCGCGAAATGAAAGACAATGTCATGACGAAATCGTTTGTACGCTATTGGTTATGCAGCACAACGGACAAGTTACACGCGCGAAACAGCAAGCGCGGCAGCTACGCGAGGGCGAACAAGTATCGAACAAAAAGGGCTACTTGAATCATTTACACTTACCCGTGATCGTTGCCATCGCCATGGAAGTCCGGCAAATCAGGTGGTGGTGGATTACTGCTGCCATCCTCGGCACGAAACGCAGGATCGCGAAATGGTGTGTCGCTGTGTGGTTCAAAACCCATTTCGTTGCTCCTTCAGCACAACCGCTCTTCAGGCTCGGGGTCCATGGTGAGGAGTGGTTGAAAGTGCCGTGAAACAACAACAACAAAAAAACATAGGCTGCTCGCGTTGAGCGCACAAACAGACGATCACCCAGTTGACCCCAGCCGCGGTCAAGGGTCTCACTTCCAGTGGCTCTGCTATGGCTTTGACTTACCGGAAGCAGGCGAAACAACGTCACGCACGCGTTTTGCCACGTCACATCGTGATGCAGGCCCCGTGAAGGTGGAGCTTAGCCCCGAGCACTCAAAGGAAGAGTTGAGGGTGAAAGGCAGAGCGGAGGAGGAGGATACTTTCTCAGTGCTCGTAGCTCCGTTAATAACGGGTGTTTCGATGGGATTATGGTGCCAATGATTTGCACCAGTAGTGGTCTAAGCGAAAACAGAAAGTGAAAAAAACGTTTCAGGGACCCTTTAAAGCGACAGCCGTTCGTCCCTCGTATTGTAGTGCGTAACATGTCTTACGCTTTGACCTGCAAAGTGGTGCCGGTGGGAGATTTCTTCTGTGCGTTGTTGAACAATAAAAAATTCACAGCATGCGTGTTAACTAAAAGCGGAATTCTCCTGTCTCTCATTCCCCATTAGCAGCCATTGGCATGTACATTGAGCACTATCTGACAAGAAAGGGTTGCTACGTTATACTCGCAGGGCGTAACCTCCTTTGTTTTAGAAAGGTTTAGCGAGCGTTGGGCCGCAGTGCCATGAATACAGTGAACTAGTATATACCATGAACTCGAGGTGGTTAAAGGTGGGAAATATACACGAAGCGCAAGCCGTAAAAAAGTGTGCGTGTGCCACCTCTCGTTTATCCTTGGAATGTCCGCTGGATGGCGGTGCTTCTATATGAGGAATATATGAGGAAAAGATGATAGATGGTGGTACTTAGAGTGTTGATTAGATTGACGAACGGACACAAAAACAGATGCCTGGACGGACGCTGGATGGCTGCACGGACGGATGGATGCATAGGTGGATACAGGGGCAGATGCATGGACGAACGCAGGGATGGACGCACGGACGGGCGGATGGACGCATGGACAGTCACAGAGACGGACGCATGGATGGACGGAAGCAAGAACGAATGGACGGACGGATGCTTCGCCCCACTCTCCATCATTCACCCCGTGTATATACTGCCATTTTTTCCTGTTTATAAGTACGTGACGAAACATCATCTTGCGAACAGTAAAATGTTCTATTTCCTAAAAAATCCATTATCCACGCTTCTAAATAATCAGGCAAATTGATTTCTCTCAGACGACTGACTAGTACACTATGTTCAACGCTATCATACGCCAGATGTATGCGACTCTCTAGGTCGATATGCGCTTGCCATATGGAACATCCCTGCCTGCCTCCAATTTAACATGGGCAAAGAACCCTTTCTCTATCGACAAATTTCATTATGCGAACATTCACTACTCTATTACTTTTACAAAATTAGAGGTTAGTGCAATTGGCCTGATATTGTCTAAAACGTAACCTTCACCTGGTTTTTTTAGAATAGGTATGATTTTTGCGATTTGCCATTCAGATGGAATCCAAGCTTCTCTTATAGCATAATTTATTATATTAAGTACATCTTCCCGTGACTCATTGAATAAAATTGTCAGCATTGCTGAAGTGACTTCATCCAGGCCTGTAGCCGCCATCGGAAGTTTTCTCATAACCTCTGCACTTCCTCTATCGATAATTCGGTGAAACTGTCTCTTGATCGTAAGATTACTGGAGGGGGATAAACAGTAGTCGAGAATCGCTTTTCCAAACTTTCAGCTATGCTTTCCAATGACTGCTTCAATTCCTGAGGGGATAAAACTATAGATTCAGAATTTACTGCTTGAGAAATCAGTTTCTTATGTCTCAGATATCCAAATAAGCTCTTTTGTTGTTTGATTTCGAAAGAAAGTCAAAATGCTTTTCATTATATTCTGCTTTTGCTTTAACCACTGTACGTTTAAAAGTACCTACAATGAATTTATAATCTGACCAGTTTTTTGGACACTGATTGTGTAATAGCTTCTCCTAGGCAACTTTTCTATGCCTGAAATCCCGAGTGCAGTTATCATTCCACCATAGCGACACAGGTTTTTGTTCAACTGATTGAAACTCAAATTTCGCTTTGCTACACGATTCCTGTATTACTGAACAAATGCTCAGTGCTTTTTGCTTTACCGTTGCTTCAGGCAGAGCCTCCATGAAGCCTCGCAAGGTCCTTTTAAAAATACTGTAATTTATGCATGCAAGTTTTCCAGTAGAAACAGATATTGATTTATTGATTTGTGAGATTTAACGTCCCAAAACCACGATATGATTATGAGAGACGCCGTAGTGGAGGGCTCCGGAAATTTCGACCACCTGGGGTTCTTTTACGTGCGCCCAAATCTGAGCACACGGGCCTCCATCGGAAATGCAGCCGCCGTAGCCGGGATTTGATCCCGCGATCTGCGGTAGGAACCGATATTAGTGGGCGCACAATGTCAAATGTAACTGGAATGTGATCGCTATTAGTCGCAGTGTCAACAGCCCACCAAGATGAGATCCCAAGGCCTGATCCCGAAAAAGTCAAGTCTAAAGATGAGGATGACATCCCTCTGATGAAAGTGGGGATACCTGAGTTATGACAAGTGAGACTATTATCCTGAGACCAGTCCCATAATCGAATACCGCACCAATCTGTCCTTGAACCCCAAGTTATGTGATGGGAGAAGTCTCTTGCCAATAGGACATTATTACCGCTAATAGAAATTACACTATCCGAAGGGTTTGTGTCATGAACCCCTGACGGATAATATATATTTGCTATGTGAAATATTCCACATGAAGGAAGACTCAAAGAAATTACTAAAATTTCGTACTCCGGCGACAGAAGCTGAAGCGTTGTTTTTGCTTTGTGGCAAAATCTGGTAGAGACTAAAGTAAGTAACCCACCCCCTCTTGAAAATCGATCTAAACAAAATGATCTATAATTTGTTAAATGAAAAAACTGATCTGGAACTAAGCAAGTTCCTTGTAGCAATATTATATCCGTTTTTTTTTCCAACAATGAGACAAGATAAATCTGTGGAAGCTGTAAAAACAGAACGACAATTCTACTGTAAGACTTTTAACGGTTCACTAGTGGGATATACCAGCAGTCAAAAAAACCTTCTCTAGTATGCTGGCCTTTACGACCTCGCTAGGCAGAGCCTTTTTTGCTTCTGTCTGTGACGACACGGAAGAAGGGTTTAAGGGAGATCGGCTACGTTTTATGGGCATGCGAATCGATTTCACCATCAGTGTTGACACTGAGATCTATAGTAGGGAGGTGACCTCTCTCTGTAGGCTTATTAACCACCCGAGTGTCTTCTAGGAGCACCCTATCTGCTCTCATGCTGCATCCTGCCTTCTGCTGAGATGTCAGTGTAGAACTTGTCTGAGGAGAAGCTGATGAGTTATTCATCAACTGAGTTAATTGAGCACTCATTATCTCATACAGACATTCTGAGAGGCTGGTAAATAACCTGTCCATTTCTTTTGATACTGCCTTTTCTGCTGCGGCCTCAATTGTTTGGGCAAAGCTAGCATCTGCCATTGAATTTTGTCGATTGGCAATCCCAGCATACCCTTGTGTCCTTTCCATGATAACTGTCATTGCATCTCTCCTTGAGCATCGTCGACTGTCCGTTACATCCAACAGTTGCTTCTCTTGAAAGAGCGGGACAACTGGAATAATCTGCTTTATGAGCACCCTCACAGAGACAGCTCTCCTCAGCTTGAACTTTGCAATCAGCGACCCTCACCACGAATGCAATACCGTATTACATTTACACCCACCAGCACTGTGGCCAAAACGCCAACAATTTTTACATTGCAGGGGACGCGATGCTAATTGTTCCACCCAGAAGATTAGTGGCCAAGCTTTTATTTCAGATGGACACGATGTTCCGGCGAAAAAGCTATTACCCCGACCAAGGAGAGTTTCTCAAGTGTTTCAGATGGGCTTAGTTGTGAGTGAACTTCACGCACAGCGCCTTCGGTGCATGCAAGATGGTGTGGGATATATGCACTCACCTGGATAGAGGCAAATGATGAGCATGTCAGAATATCCGCTACACAATCTTTGTCTGGTGATCGGCACACGATACCTCCGCGCCAAACTGTCGTACCTCAGTGATGCTTTCGTATTCAGAGGTTATCGCCCGAAGCTGCTCCTTAATCGCTTTAGGGTTGTTCAACCGGATTGCTCCATTACCCAAGGGCACCAGTGCAACGGGAATGCTGGTAACGCCATTGTGTAGAAAGAGATCGAGGGGAATCTCATCTGATCGAAGAGAGGCTGTCCATGCTGAACTGCCTTGCCCAGGAGAATTCCTGGATATTGCTGCAATCCCTTGATGACCCTTGAAAGTAAACTAACACAAGATAACAGATACAAATGGACTCAAAAGATATCAAGCTATCCGATCCTTAACAACCAAAATCACCAGAACGGAGTACGGTACCACGTCTAAAGGAGGAGAAGAAAACTATGCCCGTCGCCGAACTCCTTGCGTCTCGCGTTTGGAGGCTTTCTCTTCTCTCCTAACATGACGTACGATACCCATGAAAACCATTGCGTAAAAGCCATTGTATCAGCCATAGGTTGATTTGAGCACGGCGTGCTCGTTTGTTAAGGGGTTCTCTTCGGGAGGTCGCGACTTGTCCACGCGTGCGCCCGCGATCGCACTGAAAAGCCGCGTATTCGAATAAAAAAAAGGCTAAAAGTGCTCAAGGTCACGCAGTTCGCGTGACGTTTTTCTTTCCCCGTGCCATGCGCCCCTGTTCAGTTTCCAGCGCTTTCATCGGGACGAGGGAAGAGAAAATGCGGTTGCAGCGTGATACAAACTTTTGTAAAAATTTTCTCGGCGGTGAATTCGAAAAAGTGTTGCAGAGCCCCTTTACGCCCGTGCGCGCGTGAGAGGTATTTTTAATGGCCGCTTTTGAAAATGATGACACGAAACTCGCTTCAAATCGGCAGGATCGATAAGTACGACGTGCAGCGCCTATATAACGAACGTCCAAAATAAATGCACAATGACCTACGCATCAAGCACACCGCTATACTCACCGCTGAAAGATCTACACGTGGTTCTATAGTCGTGAACTAGAACTGCTAAAACCCACCGAGAACCAAACAAGGCTCACGGGAACGGGGCTTCCCAGCAGGCAACACGTCAAGAGAAAAAAAAGTATGCAAAAAAAGAAACGAGGCGCGAGCAGCTTCTTGGGCTTCTCTATGTACGGCGCCGCGCCAATGTAGCGCATGTCATACTTACTTTATTAACAATTTTCGTCATAAATACATATTTTAACAAACAAATACGGTTCTATTGCAAGACGTTATTCAACATTTCCGAGCCCACTTTGTCGTTTCTTCGTTTGCTAAGAGAGGGTGCGATATGGCAAGACATTTCTGTGTCCACCGTGGTCGAACCCAGTTCCGCAGGTATGGACCCTCAACGAGAGCACCACCCATCCTGTAATGGCCCCATGGCGACCAGCCAATCCTGGTGCGCAACCCTACCTGTTCCTCATGGTGGGAGACATGATCCGCCAACAAGTAGCTCTGCAATGGCCGCAGCTGGTCCAACAACACACCATGCTCCCTAACTTAGCATAATGAGAAGACGCCGACGCCCCAAAAAAGAGGCCGGTGCGAAAAAGAAGCCGGTGTGAACGGAGGGTGGAAACACAGCAAATTGGAAGAGCTGCACCAAATGCTCGAATCCGAGAATATGTCATTATACGCAGTTGCCGAGACTTACCTACTCGGACTTGAAGAGCCACCAATACACCCGAATTGGCAATGGGCGGGATGCAACAGGAAGCCTGGCTCTCGCAAAGGAGAGGGAATAGGTATCTTTTGGCGGAATTGCATTGACAACAACTGGAAGAAACAGGAGGGTTCCTGTAAAGAACACATGTAGATGACAGGAGCTGTCCTTGGCATACCAGTGCTTTTTGCAGTCATTTACTTCAGTGCTGATCCAGGACAAAATTCGGAGAACAGAGGCATCGCCCAATGTATTGCAGAAGACATTCAGCGCTGGGGATCCAACAGAGAGATATTAATCATGGTAGACTTCAGCGGACGTGTCCAAAGCATCGATGGCTTCGAAGACCACCACAATGGACTTATGCTGCAGCTAGCAGAAACATTCTCCCCTGAAGTAGCCAATCTCCGCCCCGACTGCGTAGGTGACACTACATGAAGCGCCAAAAATAGTCAGTCTTGTATATAATATATCCTCACACCCACCTGACAAAAATACATGTGGACGAGAGTGGGCGATAGAGTTTGGGTAGCGACCACAATCGCATCGCCCTGACTTTCTCTACTTCCGTCCACCGGAGTCGTCGGACAGAATGCCGCCAGTCAGCTCGGCGCTACTTACGGACAAAATCCTTTGAACGAGTGGCGGAGGAGTTTGAAGAAAATGACATTCATGCGCGGCAAACCATGAGGAGTTCGTGGAAGAGCTGCGACGCACTATGTGTCACTATGAAAAGCGAGTCCGATCCCGAGGTGGCACCAGACCTAAGGCCTGGTGGGACCAGCAAGTGAAGAAGGCACTTGAAGCGCGTCGCAAGGCTAATCGAGCTCACCGATACGCAGCAAAGCACCTCTCGGCCGAAGAATGCCAACAGGCGGGGCAGGAATTCTTGCGGTGAAAGAGAGTGATGCAGCAAATGGTCCAAAAGAAAATTGCGGAAAGCAACCAAAAACAACTGCGTGCAATCACAGAAGCCAGCAACAACGGACCGCGCAAATTCCGGACATATATATCTCCTCTCTTAATCGCGAAGCCCCCATTCCTACTCTCCGAGACTCAGCAGGTACAGCTGTCACAGATCTTGAAGAACACCTGGTGACCTACTTGCAGCAAATATATGAGAACCCGCCGCCAGAACAACAGGAAGCGCCATTACAACCTCATGGGAAAGACTGTGAGATGAACAACAGCACCACTGCGGAGCGCGAGTGGAAGGTGTCTTGCGTGGCAATCGACAGAGCCATGTCCAGCATTAGAGAATACAGCGCCAAAGGACTGGATGAAATTCCACATGAGCTAGTGAAACAGCTTGGACAAAGCGCAAGAGAGTCCTTGGCTTCCGTCTCCACAGGCATCCTTAATTAAGACCCTATCCCAGAGGACTGGTGCCGCGGCAGGGAGCGCCTGGTACCTAAGAGAGGAGGCAACAGTGACCAGCTGCAAGATTGCAGGCCACTTACCGGTCACCAGTGTGTTGTGTCGACTTTTCACTCAGGTCATCAAGAGATGGATGAGTGGTTGGGCGGAAACCAAGGGACCCTTTACAGAGCTGCAAAATGGCTTCCGGCGTCAGCGGTGAGGGGAGGATAATCTCTTTGTGCTTATACAAAGCATAGAAATAGCACGCAGGGAATCGCGCGGGCTAATCGCCTGTTTTCTGGACGTACGTGGCCAAGGCCTACGACAGCGTACCTCATAGACACCGTCTTTCCCGTATGAAAGACCTCACCGTGCCTCCTGTGTGGATTGAATTATTTCGCTGACTTTACACTGACAATATGGTTGAAACAAACTTTGGTGGACCACGCACGTGCTGTGCCCGTACAGCTTGGTATCAAGCAAGGATTCCCCCTTTCCATATTGCTATATATGCTATATACAGGTGGTCTGGAGCATGCCATCTTGGTTCAGGTGTAAGGTTCAACCTCAACTGCTCGTACGAAGGCACTCCAACGGCGTGAACACCACCTGGCTTTGTTTTTGCGGACGATCTCGTGTTGCTGGCTGAAAATCAGGTGCAACTGCAACATATGGTCGCACTATCAGCCAACCCCCTGGACACCCTAGGCCTGGTCTTCAATCGAAAAAAATCAGCGGTGCTCCGGTTCTCAGGGTAGTGTGTCGAGACTGGTCTGGTGCGGCCAAACGGCGAGGAGCTGCCCAGGCTAGAGGAACACCGCTGAATAGGCGTGATATTGTCCACCTAAGAGAAGCTTGTCTCGTGACATGAAGCTCACTTGAAACAAGCGGCACAACGAGCCAGCCGCATACCTCGTCGACAGTGTCTGTGTGGCTGCAGCCGATACCACATGGTGCGCGATTTGTGGAAAGCCGTGCACGTGCCTAGTCTCACCTACGCAAACTCTGTCGTTTGTCTGTCAGCCCCGACAAGGGATTGGCTAGAGCGAGGGCAGAGACAGGTGGGCCTCATAGCCTCGGTTTGATCTCACTTGTAAATTGGTTAGAGCTCCAGCCGATACCACGTGGTGCATGACCTGTGGAAAGCCGCGCAGTCTCACCTACGCAAACTCTACCGTTTGTCTGTCAGCCCCGACAAGGGATTGGCTATAGAGCAAGAGCAAAGAGAGGTGGGCCTCATAGCCCCAGTTTTGGTCTCACCTATAAATGGGTTAGAATTCGATAATTCTAGAGAAATTACTGGTGACTCCCAGTTTACTTCATTACCTCTCTTCTATAACTATAGCTTTAATTATTTCAACTTCCTTATATGTTCTTTGGTAATCTGCTGACACGCACACAAGCACATATATGAAAGAGGCGAGCAAATGTCGCGTTCCCCTTGATGTTGAGTATGTGCAGGCACATTTATTAAAACACCCAACATATACTACAAGTTACACTTCCGTACCGCAATAGTGCGCCAGCAAGCTCGAAATGCGAAGCATCCCTCGATAACAGATTGATCTGAAAGCGTGCAGCTGACAATGGGTACATGAAATAATTTGTTTCATAAACAAGAAGACGCATTTATTCGTTGGTGTAACCTAAAAGGGGTTTCCATCTATTTTTTTTTATCGTGGAACTGCAAACCGACGCGCGCAACGTGCGTATTCTATTGCGGTCTATGGTGGTTCCGCCCTCTTTTTCCTCTAGCAATATGGCCGCGGTAGGTTTCACTTGCTCCCGATGGCGGCGGCCGGGATGGAAGTGCACCGCGGTGGGGACTGAGCAGCCCAAGAAAAACGAGCGCGCTCTGGCTAGCTCTGGCAGCCAGAAGTCGAAAATCGAAGAGCCCCACTGCCACTCCAAAGGTTCTATAGAACCTCCTTGATTGGGGCGCACACGGAGGGGCGCACCTTCACTCCAGAAGACATAGCATAAAACCTCCTTGTGGCAACCACAGAAAAATGTATCCCTAGATCTAAGGATTTGTAACCTCATTTAGGGATCTGACGTCTTTGTCGTTGAATCTAGAGATTTCTGTAAGGCACTGGAAATGTGATGGATGAAGGTCCTCCATGCGAAATGTGCATTTACGCGGCCTGATTAAAAGTTTTACTAATTGATCACGCTCTTTTAACTAGAAAGACTGTAACAATGCCAATTTAGGCAATTTTATGTTTGTTATATTTAGAACAGTCGTGGTGTTTTGATGAACCACGTGAAGAGGATAGCAGTTGTGTAACGCGAGATTTTTGCAGTTTGAATACTGGGCAAAATTAAACTCTGCAGTGGTCATAGTGAAGCATGCACATATCGAGAGCTCCCTGAGTGAATGCTTCACTGTGAAACAAAGATAAGTTTTATCTTGAAATACACATAACCACGTGTCAAGATTACGCTCACTGCGTGATTGGTAAAGTAGTACGGGTTCAATATTGCGGAAACGGCGTGATGAAAAGAGACAAGAAGGCTGTGGGGGTGGTCCAGTCTTTCCGCCATGCCCTGTACATGAGAGCAAAAAAGTGACAAACGGAGAGCTCATCGAAAGTACAGAGAAAACGCGCGTGGAAAATCAAGACTAGACCACCAGCTGTCAAGCTGCAAGTACAAGGCACTGCAGACTTGCGGTTGACCAGAATGATGACATCTATGTCTTCAATGCGTGTGCAACTCTGTCTCGGTGGCAACAGGTGTCATTTACAAGCACTCCATATTCAACTCCACAGAGCGTGTAGAAAAAACAAAAAACAAACACTCAAAGATGGTTAACCGTGAGTTTTACTTTTAAACAGACACAGAATAATTTGGCGACCGAGTGCACTGTCTCAATACTTTGGTAAGAGTCAATTAGCCTGAATAATCATGTTAAAAATGTATTCTGTGGATTTTCCTCGCAATCTAGGGAATTTTCGAGGGTCGATTTAGGGATAAAACATCTTGGGGTGTCATCACTGCAACAGTTACCAACACCAACTGGTAGGAGTTCTGTGACCAACACGTTACTGTGATCGCTGGCGGCGGAGCACGTGAAGATAATCATGGGCAGCAAAAAACACAAGAAGCACCATAAATCGGAAAAGAAAGAAGCTAAAGATGAAGGTATTGCTTCTGCGCACAAAGCTCGTGCGTTCTCTTTAAGCGTATTCTTGTACGTGGCTTTACGGAAGGTATGTGTGGCTGTCTTCTTTTTTGGCAGTGTGTTTTGGACTGTGTTTGCCTATTTTGCGCGTGTGTTATAGAGCAAGCGACTTCTCGCGTAAGTAATTCTGTCGTGTCAGGTAAGGCAGTTGAAATGTTGCCGTCCTATATGTGCTCAGGCATGAAGATCTGCATGATGATGTGCGTTGAATAACTAGGCCTAGAAGGCCGACATGAGCTGCAGTGCTTCCGCGCGAAGTGCCATAACGTCGCCCCGTTGAGCAAACTAATGGCGTCGTGAGAGTTCGTTTCGTTTGTATCCTGGCGTACACCTGGTTCATCCTGGCACCGAAAACTGCTTGAAACTATTAAATATATTTGCCCTGTGTATGTTTCGTTACCTAACCTACACAGATAAAGCGTCCCCGTAACAACTAACTAAATAACCTACGTGTTGTCAAAATCAGTGAGCCGAACCTGGCTGAACAGCATCATTTGAATTATATGTTACGCAATTGCGTGCTGTCAAATACGAAAAAATGCTTGGCGCTAAGGACTTTGAACCTGCATTTTTTCATTGACCTTCTTGAATGTGGGCTTTGTTTTATTATCAATTATACAAGTGAAAGCTTCATCACACAAGGCTTCTGTGCTAGCTTGATGAAGCGATGTGTTGCCTTCGTGGCTAACAATTACTTCTTATGTGTTGAGTTTGAGGGTTGCTGTGGTTTGTGGTGACTGTGTGCCAAAAGTAGTAGTTTGGACAAGTGTTTCATGCCATGTAAATGACACTTTAATATTGCTTTTCACACCCATTTCCCCATACATATTCATTACGTGCGATGTCAGTGCACATAAAAGAACACGAGATGGTCAAAATTTCTTGTTGTAAATTGATTTGTAAACGTAGAGCATGTGCATAGAATAGTAAAGGCAGCGTGCACGTAGTTTTGTCTGCTACTTCTCTGCCTGTGCACATGAAAATGTTGAAAGCACTTCTGCATTTTTTCGGTCGTTTATCTAGCTGGGTCACTCTGCCTGTCGATAATCGGATTGCTATCAAGCACAAAAAATTGATGGTTTTACTAAAGACGATAGTCTTTCTTGGGGACCTTTGACGCAAAAACTTTGGTCTGTCTTTCTGTACATTTGTCTGTTTGTCCACCCTTACCGCGAACCAGATACTCGAAACAGCACCAGCCGATGCTCCGAACGGCCGACCCCATCCGCAGCACCCACCAATGTTGCTCAAGAATAAGTGTTCATATGTGTGCGATTGTCAATTAAAAAAGCAATTATTGTGCATACCTGAGGCACCATAACAACACGTATATATTCTGCATGTTCATCTTTTACTAGAAAAGGCATACAGAAGTAATTCTAAGGGCCGTAGAGCTTATCACGGTGTGCTTACCATGCAACACTTGCACGAAGAAGCGAGTGTTTCCAAGGGTTTGCTAAGACAACGCGGTGGTTGCACCTACCCGTCGCCTTGCGTTCTACACCTTATCACCTCTGAAACAGGCGCGCACACCCGTCTCAGGGCCACGCACTTTGTTTTCCAAAAAGAAATGCCAGATGGGGCTCATGTCTCACGTGTGGCAAGACTTGATGCGCTCGTTCGCCTCGGCTGCACTCGAGGCACTCTAACGCATCACCTCCGGAATACAATTCACCGATTTTCTTGCACAGAACATCAAATAAATGTTTTGTTCACTCTCTCCCCATGGAAGGCTATCGCCTTTCGACGACATTTGCAGATTACATGCAGATACAGGGCCAATTTTTATTACTGCAGATTTTTAAAAGCTCTCTCTGCTAAAGTCTGTATATTTTTCGCATAGTGCTTGCTGCAACTGGCCACTTTCAATAACAGATGAGGTTATTGAAGTCTGATGCAGTGAGCATTCAAAGCTCGCCTGTGCGATCATGAAATAGTCGAGTTCACTTATAACAATACTGAAGTGCCACAAAAATTTCATTGTTATAAACAATAATTGCTATAAATGGGTTGTACAAAAAAAAGCAAAATAAGAGGATAGCAAGTTGTTTTGAGATAACTATATTATCAGATGAGATTCTATAATTATAAAGAGGATAGGGCTAAAGATGACAGAGCAGTCAATATTTTGAACATGCTTGAACATTCGGATGCTTTCACAGGGCGGTCACAAGCCACATAGCACCAATGTATCATAAAGTTGGGTGTTTCGGGTGCTGAAACGCTTCAAAATGTTAATCTTATTACTCGAACAGTATATCAGAAAGTGTATTGCAAGGGTGGTGCTATCAAATTTTGAGGCTAAAACAGGCTTCTTGTAGTTTTCCTCTGTAGGACACTCCACACGATCGGCGAACACAGCAAACGTTTAGAATATATTTTAATTCACCTTCAAAGTGTACTTAAATGCTAATTTTCCCGACCGAAACCCATCGCAAGCGTCCAGAACTGTCGTAGCTCTCTAAAGGCCAATGAAAGTAGCAGTGAAGTCACACCAGATCTCTAGTGAGTGTAGGCGTGCGCTGGTTTTCCCTCCAGGGGGAACAAAAGTTCATCACAGCGCATGCCCTCTCCATTATGTCAGTGTATGGGTCTGACTTTCCGCAGTTGCGGCGCCCCCTTCTTATTATCTCAATGTGTCGATGTGTGGGGCTGTGTTTGCACAAACCCCCTCGTAGGTGACCATGGGAGTGACTACCCCTTTACCCGCGTCCAATGGGCACGCCTATTGTAGTGAGGGGAGTGACCTCGGGAGACCTGGGCCATGACATACCGGCAAAGCATCGCGGCTGCTTCACGTTTGTTTTGCAGGTGCTTGTGTGGCATGCACGAAAAAGCCAGAGAGCACACTGTAGTCCGCCCGACGTGCGTCACAGCCTTGTGTGGCCATGTGACCAAGCCACCTACACTGCCACGTCACAGCCCAATCCTACGCCCAGAAACCGAAACTGAAAATGGTCCACATAAAAAAGACGATATTAATTTAGTTAGCGACAATAAATGAATCTTTGGTGTGTATGTCATGCTTCCTGGAGCTATAAGAAATGCTTGCAGCAAAAAGCGTGCAAGCGAGAAAAATGGTGGCACTAACCCTTTAAAGGGAAACTCCGGCGTTTCTCGATATTCACCAATTTCAATAAAACTTTGAACATCTGCTCTCGTCAATATCGTGGTGATATGTGTCAAATCATACAAGCATAAGTCATTTAGTTATTTAGAAAATGAATTTTAAATTGGTGTTTGTCGATTCTGGAATCACAATTGTAAACGGAAGCCACCCTGTGTATGTTAAGGGCCTACTCTTTTTCAAAAACCCTGCATTTCCCAGCAGACGGATGCAGCACGTGCTTTCTTCTACGAGGCGATAACGCGAGTCGTTGACGCCGGGTCTCAACGAAGAAATCGATTCGGGGCATGTCAGATGCTTCACAGGCCGGTGGGTCAAAATAAAAAAGTGGTACTTCCCCGCTCAGAGAGTAGCTTCAACCATCACTTAATTTGTCAGTGGTAAGTTCAGACGAGCTGGCACAGCTTTATTCCGCGTCGGATGACATCGCCAACTAGCTGCCAACTAGTCGGATGACATCGCCAACATGGCACGTGAGCTATGTTTACACCCGGGCCAGCCGTGGTGGGGTGTAGCGAATCTTGTTATGTTATCGGCGACATATTCTCGTAACATCATTGGATACACACCATGGACGACGAAGCAGCTTCCCGTCTTGGTTTCTGTTTTGACTTGTTTATTGCTCAATTGAAATTATTGACGAGTGCCTGTGCAAAATGAACCACCCTAGCTTTTGCAGGACTGTCAGTAACTTGAAAAGAGCATTATCTCAGTGTGGTTGAAAATGCACAGGAGTTCCTCTTTAACAGAAGCCACCGCCACTTCCACCTCGTAGCGGATTTCAAAAGTCAGCTTTGTCGCAGTGTCACACCACTATGTGGTATAGTTTACCACAAATCCAAAGGGGAGCTGGGAGGTGGTGGGTGAGGGTTAAGCTGCTCGAATGTCTGGTTTTCTTCTTCTGCTTGAAGGATTTCGCGTTCTATTACCCACGAACACTCAATCGCAAGAATCATTTTTTTAAACTGATAATGCGGCATGCAGACATTGCTGTAAGCGGGTCATTTCACCATAGAAAACATACAAAAGTTAACAGCCGAGCAGCGTCTCATTGTTATAATTAATGTATTGTTGAAACTGTTTTCGTTAGAAGTGGATTCAACTGCATTGACTTATTAAAGAAGCGGAGGCCAAGTTGGTTTTACTTTATTTACTGTGGAAAAATGAAAAGCGCGACGGGTCACAGTTTACTAGAGCATGCCGAGAGTATGGGCAGAGAAGTAGCAGATGACATGGGCAACGCAGCACTTAGATGAACCAATGCGCATGTGCCACATTTCGAAATCCCGCCATCAGTTAGCCGACTGCCAACCACGCACTCGCGTTTTGCGTGTTCCCTCTTATAGTGGATTGTACTGCACAGGACATACTTTTCAACTTACATGTAGGTTGCCTGTCCCATTTTTGGGTCCTTTTTGTGATACCGTTTTTGGCTTTAAGAAGCCACTCATTAGGCCTCATACCAAATTTTATTTAGACCGTGGAAGTTGTTGGGTGTCCGATGAACATTTTGCCACAAAAATTTTTTGAATCTGTTCATTACGGGCTGAGAAAACTTTTTTTGAAGCGGCGCGAAACGAGGATGAGAGGAGGCGAGCTCTAAACCCTTGCCGATACTCCGCATAGCCTTCGCAAGCCAAATCTTTTCCCTACTCTCTCCGGCATCCAACCAAGAGGTCACGTGCCCATAACGTGCTCGAACAAGCCCAACCCTCGTGCACGTTTTCTTTTTGTTGACCATGCAGTGTTATTTCGTGTCGTGGTCTACTGCCTGTTTCTGTGGGATAATTCGAAAACGCTGGCTTTGACACGGTAGAATAGATGAGCGCAATGTGTGCGCGAACGCGTTGGAGCGTTTCACGGCTGTTGTCTGCTCGACGCGCTGACCGCGGAATCGCGGGGACACGAACGCATGGAAAACATCGGCATATTAGTCCCCCATCTTGTTGCAATTCACGGAAAAGAAAAAAAAGAACGCTCACATTTTCTTATTACGTCTCATTATTTATCTAGAGATTTATTAATCTCTTCAAGCAAACTACGCATGTTGTGTTAAATAATTTTTGTCATGTCACGTGCCACTGTTGGCCACGTCGGGGCACAGTCGTCTACATAGAGAACCAACATCACTGCATTGCCGTGTACGGAAAGCCATTCATACACGCATGTCATGCTCTCATTTTCTGGGCGCGCGCCCGCAAAAGGAAGGGGGAGCAGCGTTCATCTTGAAATTTGACCCATTTCCGCAGCGCGTAGCGTTGCAAATTTCGGCAGACGTGATCATGAATGCTTCATCTATGCGTTGCGCTTGTCAGCTCGAAATTGTAAAACCTGGTGAGTGGCCCTTTAATTATATTATTATTCCTGATGCACTAACTAGCCTAACAGAATATGCTTGGGTCTGCCTGTTGGTTTCTTCTCTTGTGCTGCTGTTGTATGTAACAGACTCGTCAAGTGAGCACAATTGTCACAATCCTCATATGTAGTTTTTAACAGGTAATAATGGGCATTTTGAGTAGTAATAGGGAGCTTTGATTATACTGCAGCAAGCTAATTTATCACCCTAACTAAATTCCTATTGTGACACTTGCAGTGCACACCTGTTTGGCATGAAAAGTTTGCTCGCGTGTAAAAGAAAGGCATCAAATTTCCAATAATGAATTTTTATAAGCAAACGAGAAAATGTATTGGAAAGTCTGCATACAAAGTTTTCTGCTCTCTTATAAGTATGTGAACATTCCAATTCATTGTATGTTGTTTGATATGATTGTTGTGGTATAGAGCTTTGGAATTTTTTTGCGTGCTGGAAAATTCCCCATTTTTTGCTGTCGTGAAGTTGACTTTCTTGAGTTTTAAAACGTACAAGAATTCATTTTGTGTTAATTTTTAAAGATAGTCTAGCCTCAGTCTAGTGCAAGGGTGTCTGGACTTGTAACATATCAAAATTGTGATACAGCAGTCTTATGGCAGCAGTGCTGCCAGTCATGCTGTTAGTGTTAGCCACCTAGCATAGCCACATTGATTTGAAGATATTAGCTGTCTAGGTAAACTCTTCACTTTTAAAGGGACTGTCTACTGTGTGTAAAAATTTTTGATTGTGGTGAAAACGAGAAGATTCGTCACATCGGTAACAGTGAGTGCACTTTTGTCCTATAAAAAAGGAATTATACTTTTAATTTGATGTTGGAAGTCAATAAAGAATGACCGCTAGCATCACCCAACAGCGATGTAATTCAGTCTACTGGCAGGACATAAAACCCTCGCAGGTAACTGCGAGTAACGTCCCAAAACCACCATATGATTATGAGAGATGCCGTAGTGGAGGACTCCGGAAATTTTGACCACCTGGGGTTCTTTAACGTGCACCCAAATCTGAGCACACGGGCCTACAACATTTCCGCCTCCATCGGAAATGCAGCCGCCACAGCCGGGATTCGAACCCGCGACCTGCGGGTCAGCGGCCGAGTACCTTAGCCACTAGACCACCACGGCGGGGCCTCAGCTAGAAGTGGATATCACTTCACTCGTAGGTCATTCCACGTTTTTTGAAATTAGGGAACCGTTCACATTTGTTTTTTTTTTCGTTTTCATTTTTTTACTGGTGCACCTTTTACACTCCCACCTTTTGAGACAAAAAAAAAAAAAAAGTCTGGAAGTGGATATTTGAGTTTGCTTATAACTATTTGTGCAGACATATGAGTGAGTGCGTGAGCAAACTTTATTTAACCAGCGGATTGAGGCGTGGGTCTAAGCCGCACCAGGGGCGGTGGAGAGACCCTGTCTCTCAGCCGCCTCCCAAGCTCGCTGGATGGCCCATATTTAATCTGTCCGATCTGAGCTGATCAGCGCGGCTCTCCACCGCGCCCAAAGCTGCTCTGGGGAGACTGCATTGGCGTCCTGTATCTGTGTGCATTCCCATATATGCTCTAGGGTGGCGCATCTCATGCTACATAGCTTACACATATATGCCTACCAACATTTTTTTTCTTTCAGACCGCCAAGAAAAATCCCTCAAACTAGTTCTCAAGGTTGGTGGGAGCACAGGTGGGTTGCAGACACCAGTGCCGTCACCATCCGCTGTAGCCTCGCCATACAGTGTGCCTCCTGTTCAGCAGCAGCAGCAGCAGCTGGAACCTATGGCTGCCGCAGCTGCACCCGCAGCATTTCGTCTGGAGGCCCCCAGCATGGTTTGTCACGCTCATGAGGGCAGCAGCAGCAGCAAGCACAAAAAATCCAAGAAGAAGAAAAAAAAGAAGTCCAGCAGCAAAGAACACAGGGAAAAGAGGCACAGGCACCACCACCACCACCATCATCGACATCACCATCACCACCATAAAGACCCTGAAAAAAAGGTTAGCATGACTTTGAGTAGTGGTTAAAGACAGTGCAACAAGGAGACGAGGACGATAAAAAGGACTGATTGTCCTCATCTCTGTGTTAAGCTGTGGTTCACCATTAATCGCCAACTCGCTCAAATACCTCGTTACTACTCTCTGAATAGCATAGTCACAACATTCAGATGTATATTATTCGTGCATTTGTCTTCAAGGTACTGTAATGACAATGTCTCTCACTTAGCTTTCAGGTCTTGCACAGCACGTCATGAAATTGGCTTTCATTAATGTTGTTTATTCAACAGACGTTTGGAAACATGGAGGGGTAACGTTTTTTTCTTTATTTTTTTATTTTATTACTTGAATGGGCTAGCAGATAATTGTAAAGTGTTTGGTTGCGGCACTAAGAGTCGCGTACGAGGAGTAACTGCTTTCTGATGAGGCAGGGTAGCACTGTACAAGTGCAACTGATAGTTATAGCGTATTAATTCATAAAGTTATTCTGTGGTTAAAGCATACAACGCTCTATTGATCGGCATTACAATGAAATTCATCACTGCAAGCTCTTTGTGTTCGTCCAGTGCGTGTCATGTGGTTGCCAACTTGCGCTGATGTCAAGAGTTGGTAATAACCCTGCCCCACGGCAAATGTAATGTCATTTACAGCAAATATCGTTAGTTTATGTAATTTGTTTGCTGTCACACTACGATGATGATGAAAACATTTTATTATGAATATTCAAGGAAAACGGGGAGGGTCTCTATTCCAGGACTCCTATGTTAACCTCTGCGACAGCCCAGGCCCTGAGAATGAGGGCCCGGCAGACCTCGGGGGTGCCGTTGCGAAGGGTGCCTTCCCACTGCTCTGGGGTACGGGTGGATCGAAGGATTGGAGGGATGGGAGGGAAGTAAGCTGCAGAGCACTCTACGTTTACGTGAAAAGTTGTGGGGATAGCGCCACAGCCTAGACAGGCATCAGTATAATGAGTCAGGTATATTTTATTCATGAAGGGGAGGTTCGGAAAAGTTCAGGTCTTTAGTTGGCGAAGTTCGACAGCCTCCTCGCGTGTGAAGGAGTATGGTGGGAGTTGGTAGTGCCACTCAATGAAACTGACATTTTCTGTGAAATAAATTGACCAAACACATCAGCATTCAATTTCAGCCTAAAGTGTAGTCTTGATGCCAGGAACGTTTTAAGGAGATGGCTATTGACTTTTGTATATCTAACTTGTGTCATTCGTGAACAGCTCCATTGATGTACAAGTGTGTGAAAAAGTATCTGAAAATTTTCTGAGGCTTGAGTTCCTGTAATGTTTCTTTCGGTATGTCAGCAAGCACAATAGCATAAATGAACGTGTGCTGCTTTTTAAAGGGACCCTGAAATAGTTTTTCGAAGTTTTGTCTGCGTTTAAACTAGGGCATCATCAAACTACTCGCACCATAAATTTAGTGACATGTCAGGTACCAAGGACGCTTCAGCCAAATATACCGTCCTTCTCACTCCTGCTTGGCCTCCTCAGCTCGTGAGGCATGCTGGCATCGCTGGCAATCGCAGGGCTCTCATGAGCAAGCTAAAATATTTGAGCTTTTACTAGTCTAGACCTTCGAGATCGCACGCCAACAAGTCTCGGAGGCCATCACACAGTGCGCCCGGCAGCACGCACACCATCCGACAATAGGTATGAAGATAGTGGAGTGTGGTTCATATCTCCTCCGACAGGTGCAGCTGCCCTACCAGACTATCTAATTCTTGCTTCCGCGCATTCCACAGCCCATGACAGCCAATCAGATCAGCAGCCACAATGACGTCAAGTGGTCAGAGCATGTCGCTCTGTTAATGGGCGGTTGAAAACGCGTTGGGCCGAGTCGCAGTGATCTGCACCGATTTGCTGCTCAGCAGAGAGCTACTCAACTGCTGATGCATGGTTCACTTTCACCGCTGCTGTCTCTATAAAACTAGGTACTACTAGCAAGCTTCAGATGGCTGCAGAGAAGAAAAAGTATTGTAATTTAATATAGCTCTGCAGGGGTTATGAAATTCCTTGCATGTAGTTAAAATAAGTTTGGAACACTGACATGTTGAAGAAATGCTGTTGACATCCGTAGTTATACTGTTGAAGGGTAACCGCGCCGTTCTTGGAGGAGTGCTGGTAAAAAGTATTTTTTTCAGTTTCGTCTTGCTACAAGTGCAATCAATATAATACCGTTTTTTTAAATCGGCGCGAGAGGCCCTATTCCATCTGAACTAAACAGAACAAGGCATTTTATGCTTAGTAGTGTCTGCTGTGTATTGCTTACGCCACTATCACATGAAGGAAAGCTAGCAGCCACTGATAAAGTTAAGATCACACCACCGCTATTGCTGTTGCAACTCTTTCTTTCCATTTGCAGTACATACATTTCAAGGTAATCTTCCATTATTAAGATAGTGAATATGCATATCTGTACTAGAGCTGTATATGCATGAGGACTTGTGAAATCGTTTCTGCATATTGTTCTGCATAGTGGTGATGGTGCTGGACTGCTGACCTACAGGTCACGTAATTGAACCCTACTGCATTTTAAATTGGAGCAAAAAGGCTTGAGGCCAGTGTGCTTGCATTTAGGCACACATTGAAAAACCCCAGGTGTCTGAAATTTTCGTAGCTTTGCAATTACCGTGTCTCATAATCATATTGTCGTTCTGGGACACTAGGTTGGAAACTATTATTATTTATTATTACATTATCATACTTCTGCTAAATGTTGACAAAATCACCATTGAGGCGTGTAGCGTATCTTCATACACTGCTGATATTAGGAATGTCAGACTGTAATAGCTCAATGATCGCAGGTCTCTGCAATAGCCACTGCCCAACGCCTTCAGTTTGGTACTTAGTAACACTGCTTGATAATTTTCAGGTACTATAATGCTATTTAAGATAAGATGTACTGTAAATACGTAAGCTTATGAGCACTAAATGCATGTAACTCTCTTATCGAATGGCAAGTACTCTCTTAACAACATTATAGGAAAGCGGCGCTACACGCCCCGCCGCGGTGGTCTAGTGGCTAAGGTACTCAGCTGCTGACCCGCAGGTCGCGGGTTCAAATCCCGGCTGCGGCGGCTGCATTTCCGATGGAGGTGAAAAGGTTTTAGGCCCGTGTGCTCAGATTTGGGTGCACGTTAAATAACCCCAGCTTAGTTAATCTTCAAGCTCAGTAAAATAAAAAAAATTTTTCTTGCGTTTCATTGTGCTGCTCGTGGCGAGGACAAACACTATGAATTCGTTTAGTTGAGGTTTTGTGCATAAACTGCTATACAAGCTGTTTGAAAACACTATGGGAATGTTAAAAATATACTTTCAGTAATATATTCCATAAAAAAGTAATACTAAGTAAAGCATCATTTTGCTAGTTTGGTATGAATAGTAAAGTGCTTAAACAGACACTAAAGTGAAACAATGAATTGGTTGAAATTGATAAATTATACTCTGAAAACACAAATGTCATTAATTTTACCACAGTATGTTCATTAGAAGAGGAGAAAGTCTAGACCATAGTATCATTTTTAACTTTTGTGCCTAAATCTTCACATGTGAAGGCGAAAATACTGCAGGCCCGTGTGCTCGGGTTTCGGTGTACGTTACAGAACTCCAGGTGGTCAAAATTTTCGGAGCCCTCCACTATAGCGTCTCTCACAATCATATGGTGGTTCTGATATGTTAAACCCTAGGTATTATTATTACTTCACATGTGACGTCCCAGATTTGAAGTGTGTTTTTCTTCATCTATTTCATCTAGTGATATTGGCCAAATGAAATTTCCTGAAACTTGAAAAGTTAAATGTATGGCTACTTCAGAGGACAATGTACTTCATTTTTACTGATTAGGAACTCCGTAGAACCTAATATAGATGCTGTCAAAATTTCTCATATCACACCACGTGGTGTGGAAATTTCTGTTATGCATTGTCTTGCTTGCCAAGTGTCTTCTCATGCAAATGTGGTGTTCTTGGAATTGTGAAAGAGTAATAAATAGTTTGGAGAACATTAAAAAATTTTTTTTTATGTAGTGTCCCCTTAATGTGTTCATATAGATAAATGAACTATAAGATGGAATTTCAATGCATCAGGTGATGTGTGATAAAACGAGTATTTTCTAACACAAAGCAATCATACCCAACCTAGAAGTTTCAAGGCAAGAATCGCTCACTCATTAGATGTAGTGCTGTGAAAAAAGATTATGAAAGTAGTGCATGGATTACTGTGCAAACCATTTGATTAATCATTTTAGTATAACATGAAGTTGTACCACTTTAGGATGACACTTCTGTATTCGTTTTGTGACAGTCTGTATAAGTGTTACCTTCTTAAGGCAGTTTGTGGCTTTCTGATAAGCTTATCCAGGTGGTTTTGATCATGCCCTCCTTTTTTTTTCTCCTCCATTTTTGTAGGAGAAGCGGAAGTGTGAACATGAATGTTCCTTGGGCAATGAAGAACATCTACCTGTAGCTAATACGGTGGAGCAACCAACAACAAAGCGCCCCCGTCAGGAGTTGGCACCACCACCGCCTGAGCCGTCACCTCCACCTGCTGAACGTCCGATGAGAGACCCTCGCACATGTACATTAAAGAAGTCTGATAAGAGTCCCCTGCAGATGCTACTCGACTACCTTCTAAAAAATCTTCAAAAGTAAGTCTCAGAACCAAGATGAGCTTTTTAGAAGCATGTTTTTTTCGACAGCTGGTGAAATGTTGCTCTTGGAAGAAAGTGCTGAAATGTTGTGAAGCTTCTCTAATTTTCTTGCAAGTTGCTTTTCTGCATAGATGCAAATGTAGAAATGACTCGCCATGGTGGCTTAGCGGCTGTGCTGTGTTTCTCAGCATGAAGTTGAAGGTTTGGTTCTCTGCTGAAGCAGCCAAATTTTGATGCGGGTAAAATACGAAAGTACCCATATACGGTGCTCACGCTCTGAAACAGGGCAATTTAGGTCCAAGTAACGCAGATAATTTCATTTCCACGGTCTGCAGTTCGGAGCATATTGGCGTGATTTCAACTTGAACGCATTATCAAAGTTAACATTAGAGGTCATATTTATCATGACATAACAATTTTGCAACAGTTTGTTATATACTAAAACAATTTGATGTCCTGTTTGAATCTGAATTTTGCGTGGGTGCTTACTATAGTAAAGGGCCCCATGGGATCAAAGCTAATCTGTTATATAGTGCTGTGGCATGATATACCAGGCATGCTAGAGTTATATAACGAGGATTATAAGGCTTGTTCTGGCATGCTTAATAATCAAACTGAAATAAACAAGAGTTGAAGAAAGCAGAGGCTGAAAGTGGTGAGAAAACTTTGTACAGGAAATGTGGAAGGTAGGTATTCAGATATGGGGTATTTGAATGCCACGTTCGATTTGTGGTACCTGTTTACCACAAAATTCTTGTCTTTTCCTATTTTATCTCCAGTCAACACTAGCACATCTTTTTTATTTTTATTGCAAGTCCAAAATATCTTTTTGTCTCATCCTCCTCCTCCCTGTTTCCTCTCCCCAGCCATGTTTTTCTGACGCGTAAAAGTAGTGAGAATTGGCAAGTATTAATGCAGGTGGGAATGTGAGCTCCACAAGTGTAAATGCATTTGTGCGAAGGAGTACATAATCTGGGAAACTGTTAGTGAGCAAGTATGAATATCCATTTGCAGTGGACTTTCATTATACGGAAACCTCTTAATCATTGCTGTTTTATTGAAATAAATGTCTCTAATATGATTGGTTTTGTATTTAAATAATGTGCCCCTGTTCCTCTCTCAACAAGTGGAGGTCCTGTTAAGGAGGGATGAGTAAAAAAACACGTTTTTTTTTCTTCAAAATTACATATTTTTTGTTTTTATTTGATTTCACAAGTTTAGTTGCTTCTATACTTTCACAACAACTACAAAAATAACTGAAAACTGCAATTAAACTCAAAGTGGGTTAAAATTACTTTTAAAGAGCACAAGGTGGCTACTAAAAACTAAAAAGAGCTCATTGTTTAGAGCCCCCTGGTGTTGCATGGCTGCTTGCCATCAAAATGATCATGATTGCCAAGCTTTCATGATGGAAGAAATCATCTAAAAAAAACAACATCTTTTCTGCATAGATGAACTTTCACTTACACTGAAATCCCACTACAACAAAATTGGCGGGATGCGTGAAAAGAATTCGTAGCGACATTTCATCTATCGACCACAATATTTGGTAAGATCTGACAATTTTGACTTGTTCTTTGGTCCCAGCAAGTGCATGCATTGAACTCTCGCTGACTGAGACGTACCTATCCGCACACTGAGTGAACGTATTTTCTCATGCATAACGCGATCAAAATATACAGGAAAATTGGAGGTCGGGGCAAAATTTCGGTTGGGGTGCAAGTTTTGAAAGAATTTTGGTTTGCAAGTTGGCTTCACGGCACAGCTTCACGGCAATGCAAGAAAGGCGGTCTTGCGTCAATACGGGGGTAGTTTTTTCTTCCTCCCGCAGTTCCCGGTTGGAAGTGCCAGTTATATGACGGTGCTGGTTATACAAAAGAAAATACGATATTCAGACGACCTGTGGGGCGTGCCAAGGGCGCACTGCCATGAACGAGCATGCGAAAGCTTCGCTAGAGGCTAAGTGTAAACTGCAACTGAAAGTGCCGAAGCTCCGCACTACCGTGGCCATAACTACACGACAGGAAAGTCATAACGGTTCGTGCCATTTTATGGCTTTACTACCTTTTATCTACAGCTGCCTTAGCTGCGCACCTTCACATCCTATTCATTATCAATGAACCCGACGATAGCGACTGCAGCAAACAGTAGCTCCGTTTTAAATTTGTGCGCATGACTTAAGAACTGCATTATTGCTATTTTTGATCGCATCATTACGGCAAGAAATATTGGGTTCAATCACTGCGCGTTGACTGCGTGTGCACTTTTGTGGCCTCCCGTGATCGCGTTTGACATGATCGCATTTGAGTTCACAGCGGTTATGGCGGAATGCAGCTACGATGGGATTAGGTGCACGATGGTCGCGTGTGTGCCTTCACGACGCCGTGGATGTCATTCATGATTGCAGGGCTAGTAACGACGAGCGGTAGTTTTGTTTTGAGCACGACGTCAAAAAGATATGGCAGGAGTTCTTTAGAAGATCGCGATTATGCTGCGGCTCGCACGTGCATCAAACCCACTGGCAGCATCATGGTGGATGAACGATCTGTCGCCGAGCATCGCAAGGGTGATAACTTTAGCGGGATGATGGTGTGGTCACGGAAAGCGTGTCTTCGATGCGGTCGTGCGCTCTGGATGTGACGGGCCGTTGAGAAATGGTCGAGTTGATAGCAGAACTTCGCAGTAATCCTAAGCATGTTCCTTTTCTTTACGGGGTAGTACTCGCGAAAACTTCGTTGAAGCAGAAATGGTATACAGGAAAAGTATTTGTTGTGACAAGACATTTTTCACATTGTTTTCTATGTGTGGCTGATGGGGAATTGAAAATTATTCATTCTGGCGGCAATTTCGTTATTATAGGACTTCGTTATAGTGGGATTTGACTGCATACTTTTAAAATGCATTTTCTCAAGGTCCCTTTTTGGACAAATTCTTGAGTTTGAACATCATGTTTTTGGTACTTCTAATAGTGCGGGCGGGATGAAATTTTGCCCACATTTTTCTTAATAAGTGAAGGGTGCAGCTATTTCCTTTAAAACTTTATATCGCCTATGTAATTATTACGAACCTAAAGTAAGCAGTTAGTATAGGCTAAGATTCTAAAAATTTTCTCATTACAATTTTTTTTTCTTATTCATTAGAATGTCTTATATGCACTTTCTTGATAGTTATTTGCATTCTGCAGTTAATGTGGAGCAATATGAGCCATTAGTAACTCTGAGCCATAAAAGTTTAGGGACACAAAAAGTCAGTATAAGCCCCGCCGCGGTGGTCTAGTGGCTAAGGTACTCGGCTGCTGACCCGCAGGTCGCGGGTTCATATCCCGGCTGCGGCGGCTGCATTTCCGATGGAGGCAGAAATGTTGTAGGCCCGTGTGCTCAGATTTGGGTGCACGTTAAAGAACCCCAGGTGGTCAAAATATCCGGAGCCCTCCACTACGGCGTCTCTCATAATCATATGGTGGTTTTGGGACGTTAAACCCCACATATCAATCAAAAAGTCCGTATAAAATTAACTGTACGTTACAAATTGTCATGGCACAAAACAAAAACTTTGCAGCTTATGATAAAACTAATTAAATATTTGAAATCAGCGTAAAAGCCTATTTATACAGCAAAATTTTATTTATTTATTTATTTATTTAGAAATACTGTCAATCTCAAACGAGATCAAGGCAGGAAAAGGGGGTTGCAGCAGAATATATAAAAACATTAAACAAATTATACTAAGCTATACAACAATGTATTAAACATACATAAATGCAAACACAAGTTAACTACAGCATATAATATAAACATCATCCACTAGGAAGAAGAGTAACCAAAAAAAAGACCGTACGTAAAAATAGATAAAGACCGTACGTAAAAATAGATAAATTCACAAATAAATCAGGTAATAACTCAACCGTGCTGTGTTAGTAAAGCTTCCTTGATTGTCATTGCTCTAGACTACATATTAACAAAACTTTTGTTTTGAATTGGATCCTCCCTTAAATGAGACATATTTTCCTGGTTTCTATATCAAAAGCCTACTGCATTCTGCCAGCCTATGGGTTGCAGAGTGCTAATTTTACTAGAGCTTGCTTCATGTACTTTAGCCTTATGTTTCTATAATAGTGTTGCACTGCTGTCAGAGGTTGAAGACTGATGGTTAGCTGCGACATTTCTATGTAAAAAGTGTAAGTAGGTTGCTTTCTTGCCAGTGTGTTTGGTGGGATTATCTCCGATGTTTGCATTGGCTAGCAATGGCCCAAGGGCTATGTCACAATTTCAGTGGCACAAAACTTCTGCATAGGAGGTTAAGGGGAGATGCGAGTTTTTAGCGAAATTTCTTGTATTTCTGATTCTTATTGCATTGTAATCTTCAAACCTTCTTCTTTCATCTGTGAAAATTTCAAAACTAAATTCGAACCGCTAAATGCAAAAAAATGTGTATGAAGGCATCGCGGTGGCTCAAAATTTCTTGAATTTGCGCCGATATTGGCCATCTTTGACTGCGCGCTGCTCCCCGTCGGAGTGCCGCCCGCCATCGCGATCGGTTGGGAAAGTTGCGTCCGGCCTTCTTCTTACAGCTCCGACGACCGCCAGTTTCATACGTGGGCAAAAAAAATAAAAACGAGGCCTTTTTATTACGTGGTTTGAGCGGTTTGAAACGCGCGGCACCCTAAGCCGCATCGCCATTGGCTACCGAGTCATTGTCAGCTGTGTTGGTGGCGGCCATCGGCATTTGGTCCGTCTGCTTTTCTGCGCGTTTACGCATATTTCCGCGATGACAAGCCCAAAAAAGTGCAACGTGAGACCGCAAAAGTTTCGAACGAAGCACAAGTTCAAGGGAAGGCGGCGTAAAGCGCCCCGAACGACGGCGACGAACGAGAACGCGCCTACGTGTGCTAGGCCTGACGGCGGCATCGACGTGTGCGCGAGCGACAGTGGTTGCGATGAAGGGATTGACGCTGCGCTTTCTTTCGTCAGTGCTTCGGAAAAGAAGCTCGGCTTCTT